TCCCCGGAGTTGCCTGGAGGAAGCAAGTTAATTTAGTGCACGATGAAGTGAGTCATTTCTAGCTGCTGTTTAATTCCTTTATGCTGTGTCAAAGGCATGACCTAAATCCACTGATTTCAGAGTAATCCATTGATTCCAATAGGGTATGACAGCCACATGTGACTATTTGAAGTGTGGCTAGTCTGAATTAAGAGGAGCCATAAGCATAAAATACACATTGCATTTCAAAGACTTAATACCAAAATATGAAGTGTCTCATTTTATATTTTTATGTGGAGATGTAAAATTTTTGACATATTGCATTAAATTATTATAATCAGGTTAATTTATCTTTTTACTTTTTAAAAATGTGCAACTAGAAAATTTAAAGTGCTACAGGTCATTTGCATATTTCTATTGGGCAGTGCTGGAATAAACCTTGGCTCAGGGTGAGGTCTTAAAAATGTCTTAATATACCTTCCAAAGCCTTGGAGTATGTGTTGTATATTTGCTCTTTCCCAGCCCTGGCAATGCTTAAATTAACAATTAGAGGTCTGATAATAAATTCCAAATTCCTACTTACATCCTTCCCAGGCAGCAAAAGGACAAGCATGTAAATTGAGTGCCTGGGGCAACCACAGATATCCCAGAGTCCTAGTAATGCCTGAGTTAATAGAGTTTTTGGTTTTCTCCCACTTTTTCACGCTTCTTTTGAAGTAGACAAGGATAAATACATTACTGAATTCCAAGGTTAAAATCCCACAATATCAACATTTATTCACATGCGCTACATCATTACAACAAACACTGCTAAAAAAGCAAACTCAGATGGTTCCCACCCATTCATCATTGAGAACCTGGTTATCCCTTTGGAGGGCTAAACATAAGCTATTACACTGTCATCAAGTCTGGAGATTATTTATGCTGCACATGGGCTCATGTCCAGTGATTGTGTGTTAACAAAGTCATTAATCTGGATAGTGTTTTCAAGTCCAGCATCAGTGAACATCCTGTTTGTTTAAAATGGAATTATCTTTTAGTTCACTGTGCTCATTACCTCCTACTAATCTAAGAATATGCTTAACTTTCGTGTTTATGAAATAAGTTGAAGAAAAATAATTCTCAGAAAGGTATGGGGTTTGCTTTAATAATAATAGATTAATTTATGTAAGAGAACTTAATCAGAACATAAATGATGTATTGAGCATAGTCATGAGCCTACCATTATAATTTAGTCTCTGGTTAGCTTCACATGGAGAAAAACTCCACTCCAGAGTTGTGTGACTCTACAGGAAATTTCTGTTATTAGGGCATCCAGAGACTACCCCTTCCCTCTCCTCTTTAGAGATGGAAAGTTTACAAATGCAACTTTACAAATGCCAAGTTTATAAAAGTTTACAGCAACTCTGGGCTGTATAAAGTGTTTTTCCTCTCTTGATTCTATTTTGATTTGCATATACTACATTATCTAAAAATGACTTCATTGCAAAGAATACTAACTTTTTAAACAAATAACAAGAGTCTCTATGAATTTTTATTTCTCTTTATATAATAAGGAAGCTCCTAAGGATCGAATGAATCTAATTTCAGTCCAATTAACCCCTGATATTACTGAGAAAAAAATGAAAGGGGGTACCTGAAAGTAGTGAGTTGTTAAATCCTACTGGCAAATGTAGTAATTTTTCCTGCCTTTCCTTGAAAAGGAATAGAAAAACAAACCACACACAATAAAGTGAATTACTTTTTTTTTTCATTTTATTGAGATCCCATTACTTGATAACAATGTATAGATTTAAGGTGTAGTTTCTCATCTCAGCAACTATATATATCATGCTATGCCTACCGCCAAATGTCCATTCACTATCCACTGCCAACCAATTGGTTCGTCTACCTATTCTCTAATTTTCCCCTCAAAGCCTTTGGTAACCACCATTCTGTTTTCAGAGTTAAAGTGTTTTTATTTTTTTTTGTTAAATTGCTTTTTTAGTATTTATATTCCACACGAGTGGAACCATTTGGTATTTGCCTTTTGCTTTGACATAATAAATGATGTAGAACATCTTTTTATGTGTCTGTTGGCCATCTCTATCTCTTCTTTGGTGAAATGCCTATTTAGCTCCTCTGCCCATTTTTTAAATCAGGTTGTATTTTTTTTGTGGTTGAGTTATATGAGTTTTTCATATATTTTGGTTATTAACCCATTGTCTGATAAATAGTTTGAAAATTTTGCCTCCCACTCAGTAAGCTACCTTTTCATTTTAACAATGGTTTCTTTTACTGTGCAGAAGCTTTTTAGTTCCAATTTGTTGTGCAAGTCCCACTTGTTTATATTTTCTTTTGTCTTTCTTGTTGTTGGAGATAGGTCCACAAAGATATCACTAAGGCCTATGTCAAAGAGCTTATCGCCTATGTTTTCTTCTATGTATTTCCATCTTACACCATATACCAAAATCAGTTCAAAATGGATCAAAGATTTGAATGTAAAACCATAAAATTAGATACTTACAAGTATTTTCCAGGTGGACTATATATAATCCTTGGCTATCCATTACCTTTACACAGAGCATGGATATAAGAGCTCATTCCTGTGACTGTCATGCCTGTGACACAGCCGACCTTCCAAATGAAATGGAAGGTAGACCTCATCTATTCAAGTGAGCTTTAAAAGTAGACAACTTTTTTTACCTAGTGTCAGAAGAAGTAGGCAGGGGTGGACATTGAGGAGAGTCTAAGCTTGAAAAGGTACACTACCAGCAGCTTAAAGATGAAGGTTGAATGGTCCCAGCTTCCAGTTAGAAAGAAACCAGACCCAGACCCTATAGTCACAACTTAAAGGATCATGGAAGTGGATAAAGAGCCCATCTGATTCATACCTTGATTTTGGCCTCATGAGACCATAGGCAGAGAATCTGGTTGAGCCCATGTGTACTTCTGATCTTCTGAACTGTGCGATAATAAATGGGTGGATTTTAGCTCCTAAATTTGTGGTAATTTATATGCAATCAAAAACTAATATACCTTATTGTTTGTTGGATTCCACAGATTTTCCTTTTTGTTGTGGTTCATAATCCACTGAATTTACTAGTTGTGTGGCCTCAGGTGAATTACTAGCCCTTCTAGAGCCTGTAAAACCTGCCTCACTGAGTTTTTATGAAGATTAAATGTGATGCACGTTAAGTGCTTACTGCAGACCCTGGTGCTCAGCAGGATCTCAATCAAGTTCCCCACTGCATGTGTATTTATATAGTCCCCAATGTACCCCTAAATATGGGACTTCTTGCAGATTATTGCATAGTTCCAGGGATGTTATAGGTGCTAAGCGATTGGTATATGCAAACAGTATTCATTAGATCTTCCCATCAAGTATGTATGTACTGGGAAATGAATGTATTAAAGACATGTATACAAAGTAGTCTCTGTCCTCAAATTGCCCCAATGTCTGTAGAGAGAACATGTAAACAAAAAGTTGCAATACAATGCCATTCATTCTAGTATCTTTCATGGCTGAGGACAGAGCACCTTTTACACCAGTCCAAAAAGAGAAGTGGTTTCTCAAGTGGACTGAGGAAGAAGCATGCCAGGCAGAGCAGGGCAGAGGACTGTGCAGTGGTCAGTGGCTGGCTGGAGCCTGGTTTGGGTGTACCTGATTTGGGTGTGATGAAAAGTGGAACTCATACACTAAGCTGAGGTCAGACGGCAGTTCATGTCAGTGGTTTTGGGCTTCATACTTAGTTCGGGGGAGTTCTCAGAGGTCTTGGGGGAGTAATCTAATCAGAATCATGTACTAGAAAGGAAAATAGTGGTGTGGAATGAAGGGAATACCTAGGATGGAATGCAGGCGGAGACTGGGAAATCTGAAATAGGTTAATAGTGATCTTTAAATTTCAAGAAAGGGCCTCCCCGGTGGCGCAGCGGTTGAACGCTGGGTTGCGAAGCTGCCCGCTGCCTCTGCAGCGCCGGTTCGATCCCCGGCTGCTCCCCGGCCACCGGAGGAGGGTCCCACATGGCGCGCAGACCTCTCCTGCCGCCCGCTGCTCCCCTCAGCAGTGTACTTCGGTCCTTCTGCCTGCTCTGCTCCCCGCTCTGGCTCTGGTGAATTCTCTCACCCTCCCGTGCTTCTGACTGTACCCAGTGCTTGTATAAATAAATAAAATAAATCTTTAAAAAAAAAATAAATAAATAAATTTCAAGAAATACACAAGAATCTTTTAAAATTGAGGTGCTGATAGTCTACCACTCAGTTTAATATCCTTTATAAAAGCAATGTGTCTGTTCTGATGAGCAGCAGAGCAAGGACCTGCCTAAATTGGTTAAAACTGGAGGGTGGAAGCAGAGGGAAGAGGTCTGGGTCCCAGGGATTAAAAGCTACCTTCTGGATTTTAGCAGAAACAGGCTGGCACACACCCACACAGGGTTGGCTTGGTAGGTTTGGGTGGGTTCCCTTCTAACTGGGAAACTTCCAGGTGCCTAAGAAGAAGGAGGAAAAAGTATTTAGTTAGTTCTGAATTAATACTTGGAACTCATTTTCTCATGAAAACAATGTTATAAACAGTGGTTAGTTTATAAGGCTGGCCTCCTCAATGAGCAATAATGTGCCTGAAATGCAGTCCATTTGTTAACTTTATGACTATTTTGCTATCTGGATTTTTCACTAACAGCCAGGCTTTTGGAACATGACCTGTTTGTAAAGTGGAGATTATCTGTGGTGAATGGTTCATAACTGTGGTTAAGGGTTTATGCTAGTTCATCAGATACACATTCAAGATTGTCTTGAGAATTCCGTAAGTTACTACAGACGACCAACCAGAAAACATCACCCGGAATACTGGCTTGGAAACTTTTCTATTTAAAAATGAAGCAGGTTTTATTTTTTAAATTAGAATAGAACTTTATTTGTGGCATCAAATTTTTAAACAATGATTTTATATTTTAAAGCATATAATAAATTTTAATACATTAATTTTGATATATATTTTACCATATCAGAAGATATTAAAAACAATGTAAAATAGTTGAAAACAAATTGTGGTTAACTTGATAATGATATGGAATAATTTCAGCCTTATAAATAAAAAATGAAACCAAATATTTAAATTTGAGATAGGATGAAATGCCTTTGTAATACAATTTGATATCGTTAAAATTTGATTAGAGAAAATATATAAAATTATATGCTTATAATTTCTAGAAAAATATTTTGTCTTTGCTTTTTGACCCTACTTACTCTCCAGCAAAATGCATTTGAGATACTGTGCTTTCTAGGGTAAGGGGTTATGTTGCTTAACAGAGGTTTCTTCTGGACAGTCAGCCCACAACCTGGGCAATGAGGGGGTGATGGTCTGTACTGAGGGCTGATAGAGTGAGTGTGGTCTCATTAAAGCCCTGTTTTATCTGAGTATTGGGACCATCCAGATATCAGCCAGCTGAAAAGCACGCTTTGTATTTCCTCAAGCTCTGATATTTCACATACGTGATATTTAAACAATCATGGTAAAAATTCTGTTTTAACAAAAACAGTTTTCATCTTCAGTTCTACATGATGAGGACATTCCAAAATGCATTGGCCCATATTAATATTACTTTGTTGATGTAGAGAAAATAAATTCTGATGTGTCCATGTATCTTTATCTTCTTTAACATCAGTGATCTTCCTACTTCCTGGTCTAGTAGCAGTCATTTTATTTTTAGAGGAAGAGATTCTTCTTTGGGAGTGTAGTTAGAGTGCACACTTGATTTGAAAAAACCTGGTGTTCAGTACAAAGCATCTTCTGATCGTCTGATACTTCGCAAAGGATCTCTGGAACTTACAACAATCTTACATGACAACAAGAGTGGGAACAAGTAATTTCACTTGACAGATGAAGATACCAGAGCCCAGAGAGGTTAAGTAAGTTGCTTCAGTTTAAACAGGTGGTAAGTGACAAAATTAGATTATACCTGGTGGTCTTGCCTGAATGAAGGTTAACACAGGTAAAGATACAATAGAATGCATTGATCTGTGAACTGTTTTCCTTAAACTGAACTGTTGATGTGGTACTTAGAAAATGGTTTTGTTATTGTCATAGTTGAGTCCTTTACCAGTACTGACAGGTATCCATGAGGTTTTACCCCAACCAATTTAACCAACTGTCAGAAGCACATTTTACAACTCTTGAGTATATACATACATACATATATATGCATTCAAGGACTGTAACATGTATTTACAATCATTCCCCAGTTACTAAGATACCATATTGAGAAATAGGTTTGATGTTTTGCACGAGTATTTTCTATATAACCATCCCAATACAGTTATGAAACATGGAAATGCAGTCTTGGCACACATTACTTTTACAGGTACACTGGAACACTTTTCCTTTTGCCTTATTCTGCTCACCGCTACTTCTGATTGTTTACAAATTCATTTACACATTTGTAAGTTCTTTGAGAATAAGAACTGAGCTATGTTTCTTCGAAGCTGTCAATTCTTAGACCTAGCACAGGCATTTAGTAAACATCTGTTAAATGTATGCACGTGGTTTTCCTGTATTTCCATTTGGTTAAAGTAGGATTCTACCTGCAGCATGTTACCTAAAGATATTTGGATTTATAGCAAAACATGTTTTTCATAGTAAACGGTATTTTTAAAAAGCATAAGAAACATGGTAATAAATTTAATACAAATTATGCATTATAACTATTCTTTGGTTATTTTTAACAAATTATTTGGTTTTATGACTAAAGTGAAATACTAAAAATATAAAAATGCAACTACAGAATTTAACTTGATCTGTAAACATAATCCCATAAACATATACTTACTACTTAATTGTGTGAGTGTAAAGAATGACTATAAAGGCATGTACTGTACATTTAACTTAATCCTTCAAGGCATATTTAGAAATACTGCTTTGTGGAACTTTAATGTTTGAAAGAGAAAATTTTTTAACTAAACTAAACATGAATAATGGCAATACCAATGAACCATAAGGATACACTGGCAAGAGGAAGGCATTAATACTTTCACCCTTTGCAAATTTGAATTGCTTCACATGTCTATGAACCACCTTATTTGGTAAAACTATATAGTAAGAAGAGTCCAATACTTTTGAAATGAAGTAAACAAGTGTTTGCAAGTAAGCCAGTTGACCAAAAATATAGGTAACATACTTTCCAAGGTTCTTCAAAAAAAATCTGGGCAGTAAGGTACATAAGGCAGGTCTTAAAAGTAAATAAATAGCTGCAGGCAGCACTAAAAATAGTGAAGTTTACTCAATATTAAAGTATTCTCTTCCAAATTTTAGTTTTCTTTTTCAAAAAGCATCATACTTTTCACACATGACACTTAGTACATATTTCACAGTTATAATTTCAGTAGTTTAAGAGAAAACTGCCTGGCAGATACTGTAAAAAGAGGTAATTGTTAAGGACAAAACCCACTATTTCAGGCACACAGGATTTATATCCTGTAGTATGAACTCTAAAGACAGAATGACTTAGGTGTGTAAATGCAACACATGATTTAAAAGTGAATGACATAATGGTGAAGTTGTCATACTATTTCTTCCAATGCTTTTACATGATCTTCTGGGAAGAAGCCATGGCCAAGTTTAGTAGTTCCTTGGAAAGTTTTAAGTTAATTGCTTATAAAAAAGTGGCAGTAAAACATGTCGATCAATATTTTAATCTAATCAACCCCATCAAAACCCTGAGTGTTCTCAATTGCCATCTGAAGTTTATCCCATAATTCTTCAAATGATTCATAGGGTGGTAAGTCCAAGCGATTAAAGCTGAAAGAGTAGAGAAGAACTCTTGTTATAAAAGACACGGACAAAGCAAGCGTCATCACAGCAAACACAGTAACCCTGCTATTCACGAGTATGTTCCAACAACACTAAATGACAGTTTGTCGACAATAGATAAGGATGATAAGGATTGGCATGAACTATTCCCATGACTTCTCAGTGGAGCGCTTTTAACCCTACCTTGACCTCCAAATGTCTGGGTTCTTCAATCATTCTAACCTCCACAAGAGAATGTTCTAGAGCTTCTCGGATTGGCCCATTATTTATGAGCTGGAGGCAACATATGGTCAAGCAGTTCAGATGGACTGCTTCAGTGTTTAGCTACCTGGACTTCAAGCCAAGGCCTGCCTGATAAAGAAACACCTGGGTTGGTGTTGCTACCTCCTCCTCCTCTTCCACCAAGGGTGCTAGAGCTTCTGTGCCTGCATTCTCAGAGACCTATCTTCTTAGGGTCTAAGAGCTCACTTACCACGTATGGGCTCTGGGCAGCTTTTCAGGGGTACCCCACTGTTCAACTGTAAATGACTGGGGTCCATTTGAGCCTGCAAGAAATAAGAGATGCTTTGGTTTCATGCACTCCTTACAGGAGTCCCTAGCCCTTTCAAAAGTCACTTTTTGTAAAGTTAAATATACAGGGAACTAATCTAGTTTCTTGGAAAGCTTGATGGCTTCATTGGCCAGCCACAAAATGAGGATTCCTCTTCTATCAGTTCATTTGTGACCATGATATCTGCCCCCGGGGGGTGGCACATCTGATGGTACTTTTACTGTTTCCTAGTCCTAGATACAGTCACATTTCCATATCCCATATGGAATATGATATCCCATCAAAGGAACACAAAAAAACAAGTCTTTTCTTTCTTTTTAAAGTCCCACTAAAAAAATAGCTTTATTTTTTTCTTATTGTATAACCTCACTGCAAAAAATTAGAATTAAAAAAACTATGCGAAATTCCAGTTTCTCAAAGTAGTAAAAATGAATCTATCATATAACTCAACAATTCTACTCCAGGTATCTATCCGATGTATATAAAAATATTGATACGAAAGGAAATATGCAGTCCTATGTTCACTGCAGCATTATTTACAAATAGACAAGCTAAAGAAATAACCTAAGTGCCCAATGACAGATGAGTGGATCAGGAAGATGTGATACATAAACAGAACGGAATACTACTCGGCTATTAAAAAAGATAAACTCTTGGGCCTCCCTGGTGGCGCAGGAGTTAAAGTTAGTGCTGTCAAGCTATCACCGGGCACTGCAGCATAAGTTCGATCCCCAGCCAGGGAGCTAACCCACATGATGCAGCAAACCTCTCTTGTCTCACCCACTGCTCCCCTCAGCAGTGTATATCGGTAGATCCGTCTGTTCTGTTCTCCACTCTGTCACTGGTGAATAGTTTCACCACCACCCCCAACACTTCTGGCCTGCACCCCAGTTGTTGTATGCATAAATAAATAAACCTTAAAAAAAAAGATAAACTCTTGTCATTTGTGACAACATGGACAGAACTGGAGGGGATTATGCTAAGTGAAATGTCCTACAAACATATCCAACTATGTGTGTGAGTATAACTGTCAGAAGCAGCACCAATAATATTTAACATTCATAAAGTGTTCTCAAAAAAAGGTTTAGTTTTCACACATCACCCCTCACAATTATGTCCACAGTTCAAATTTCAGTATTTTTGTCATTGTTTTCTATAACATGGAATCATATATATTTCCTTGCCTCTTTTCTCTCTATCAAACAATCCATTGCCAAAATTCCCTCAAGTCAACTGACATAAACTCAACATACTTTTCATTGGCTAGGTAACACTGCATTGTAATATTAACATTTGCAAGCAACTTCTACTTGTTTTTTTGCAGGTCAAGATTTTGAGTTTATATTCGAACACTGACAACTCTGGCTCTGTGTGCGATATTTCCCTTAAAGTTCAAACAGTTCAAGGAATCTGTGGATGGCTGCAGGTCTGGACTGTATGAAAGAGGGAAGTGGAGCTCGAGGGGGAAGGAGTATTTGTTGTCTCTGCCTTGATTTCTCTACTAAGTAACTGAAGAAGAGAAGGGGAGTCAGATGAAACCACCAAAAGGACAAATATTAAGAAACCCAAATAGGTAAGGATGAGCTTACTGCTTAGCTGCAAAGCTCCGGTCCCATTCTACTCAGTTAATTCTGGGTGGAGAAATTGACAAGTTCTGCAAATACAAATGAAGCTGAACAAGGAGACCGGGTTTGTCAAGGAGGAGATAGCAGGGCCTAGCAATCCATCAGATAGCAGCAGTTTTTATTGGCATGAAAAATTCAGCTTAGCAACGACCTATGCAGCAGTCCCTGACTTCTACTTTTCACAACAATTTTCACCTTCTTTGTTGCTCTGATTAGGGCACTCTGTTCTTCCTGGGATCTTTTAAAGCAAGTAAAGTCATTCCAATAAACAGAATATTAACTGACTGGAGAAAGCAGTTTTGCTCTACATCAGAAACAGTATTTTAAATCAAATACCCCTTTAGTATTATTAGATAAATCAACTATAAAATAGCTAGATAGGATCACAGAATTTTACTTTAGAGAAAATTACATTAATAGTAACTATACTGTTCACAAAATAAGTATTAATTTTAGGCTGTCCATTAAAAATAAACATGATGGATGTGACAAATAAAAAAAATAGTAACTATACTGAATATCAAGAGATATTTGCGGTCTGATTTCTACTCTTGTCATTTCCCATGAGGCTGAGGAAGAGTAGTCTAATGAGTTTTTCCACCCTCCAACTACCACCCCACCACCCACAGATTCCATGAGTAATTTTTGAAAACCACTTTTTCCCATAGCAACTCCCAAAGAAATCAGTTTAACTTTAGTCCACTATTTTGTCAAATGTATTCTATCATGATTTTTTTCTATTGTATGCATATTAACATTCTGTGGAACTTTACATGCTAAACTTTACATCCTAGCTAACACACTACAGGCAATGCTTTTTCTGCACTGGAATGCATAGTGGAAATCAAATTTAAGAATGGAAAGTAACTCAAGTCCTTTCTTGTTTCCAGTTTTCTCTTTTGCTATCTAATTAGGGATCATATATTTTGGCATACTTTAGTGTATCTAATTATATCATTTAAGCCTTAATTCTTTTTTATTATGCTAAATGTTCATATAAATGTTAGAAGCTTGAACACTAATCAGACATGAAAAAGACAACTGGCTAACTCTGTTTTTAAAGGATCTATGGAAAATCCTTACCATACAATTCAGCAAAACCATTCATAGGCACCCGGGATGTGCCAGTGACAAACTGAAGCAACCTTATTCTCTTCTCTGAATCCATCATTAAAACAGCCTGAATAAGTAAAAAAATATCATTTAAGAATATCATTGGAAAAATTTGCTATGAAAAATATGCTATCAGAATTTCGTTAGTTCATTAATGATCACTTATTAAATTTGCATGTTTCTTTTAATGAAATTTGTATTCATAGTTGTTTACAAACTTCTTGAAAACTTACAATGGGATTATAACTTAATAAAGTGACAGAAATTTTTTCTCAGATGTGAGAAATTAAAATTTCTTTAAAAAGTATAAAATATGTATTGATATTATTTTAACAATTATATTTGATATTATTGAATAGCACACACATTTCTCTATAGCATGGAAACTCACATCTAAAGGAGCCACGCAGGAGTCTCAGAAAATGCACAGCAGGTTATTATGAGTTCTCTTGAAGTGTCCCTACTGTGGTCAGGAACTAAGTGCCGATCTCAGCTGTCACTGCTGTTTACTACATTCTAAACATCTGTAAATACACATGGAGGTGGGACCATACCCAGAATGTAGACATATACAGTACAAAACCAAAGATTTTTTGCTGGATTATATATTTTTGTTTATCTTTGTTTAATACAATAGTATAGTTAAATATCCATCCAAAATGAATTTATGAAAATAGAAGTTTCCAATTACCTTCCAAAACCACTGTATGACTTGATGATTTACACTGTAGCCATTTTTATACTTTGTGTGTTCTCTCCAGTCATTCACATCCACATCTCCCAATCCACACATGAGAAGCTAAATAAGAAATGTCAAACTGTAAATAAGAAAAATGATGGGTACAAAAATCCTGTCTTAAAATAAAAGTGGTATTTCTTACCTCTAGTTCATTTTCATCAAAAATTTTGATGAGATCTTGTGGTATGAGTTCAAAAAATCCCTAGTAGAAAGAACATATTTTAGAACCAGTAAGTAGGGTCAACTTACTGAGTGCTGCTAGAGAAATTCCACATCCGCATAGATGACCTCAGCTGAGACTTCAATGCTGGCAAGAAAATGCATGAGCCCATAGTCTGTTCTTTCTCCCTGATATCTCAAAGTGATTTAAAATTTATAACTACCCTATAGGGCCTCCCCGGTGGCGCAGCAGTTGAGCGTTGGGTTGCGAAGCTGCCCGTGGCCTTTGTGGTGCCAGTTCAATCCCCCGCTGCTCCCCGGCCACCAGAGGAGGGTCCCACATGGTGCTCAGACCTCTCCTGCCGCCCGCTGCTCCCCTCAGCAGTGTGCTTCGGTCCTTCTGCCTGCTCTGCTCCCCGCTCTGGCTCTGGTGAATTCTCTCACCCTCCCGCGCTTCTGACTGTACCCAGTGCATGTATAAACAAAACAAACAAACAAATAAATAAAAATAAAAAAAAACATGCCTCTATTAAAAAAAATGTTAAAAAAAATAAAAAAAATAAAACTACCCTATATTCCTCTAGCTTCCTCCTCTTCATGTCTCCCCATTCTTTACAGCAGGTAATTTCTATTGAGAGGCAGAACAGAGGTAACTATGCAGGACAGAATTCACTCAACCTTCTGAATTTCTCACTATTCATCCAGGCCTCCTTCCTATGGCCTCGGAAGAGAGGTACCACAGCCACTCCTCTCCTCTTCTCCATTGAACCTCATTCTCTTTATCAGCTCACTCATAATGCATTTGAACTCATTAAAGTCATTTCTACCCCAAAACAAAAGAAACCCCTCTTTTTCCTTCTCTTTATGGCCAAGTTCTTGATAGTTCTGTATATCACCAAATTCACTTGTTCAGTTCCTATCTATCCCTCAAATGATTATAATCTGCCCCCTAAGCTGCTGCTTCTCTGAATCTGTGCTGGAAAAGTTGAAGACAGCTTTACAGCTAAATCTGAAAACTGTTTTCTATTTCTGTATCTTATTTGACTTCTCTGCAGTATGATAATGTTGAAAACATCTCTGTTCTTAAAATTTTTTCTGTTGTTGATGGTTTTCCTCTATGCCTGGCTGCCTTTGCTAATATCCTTTGAAGTCTCCTTTTGCACCATCCATTATTTCAATGTTGGTATCCCTTATCTCCATATGTGGTCATCCACTTTCACTATCTTATCATTCTTTGAATTTTCTATCTTATCTAGTCTACTGCTCCCCTCTACAAATACAGATGATCCCCAAATCCATACTGCAAATCCAGACCTCTATTCCTGAAGTCATCCTATAGCACACTACAGATCTCCTTTCCTGAATATCATTCAAACACACACACGGCTCTGTCTCACAATCATCATCTTAGTACTCGTCTGCACTATTTTCAGTCTGCATCACTCAGTACATTTCAACTGGCCTCTGCTGTTAGCCTTGCCCAACTCTAATTCACTACATATGACTTCCAGAATGATCTGACTAAAATGCAGATTGAATCCTGGCTTTTTATTGCTTAATAGCCTTGAATACCATTTTCCTCCCCTCACTGGACTTCAAAGAAAACTCCAATCAGGCCCTTCAGAATCTGGTTCTGTACAGCTCTCCAGGCTACTTTCCTGCTTGCCTCCTTTTATCAAGTATTTGAATAGCATGTATTTTCTCTAACATGTGCGCATTCTGTTTTACTGCCAGACATCACACATGCTGCTTCCTCTGCTTGGAATTGCATTTCCTTCTTCTCTGTGGCTGACCAATCCCTCCTGTCTCTTTTCTGGTCCTTTCTTCCACCTTCCTCTGCTCTGACTTCCACCTCTTCCGTGCTTACCTACCACATCAGGTCTGCCTCTGCCCATTGCACCCTTTGTAGTCTCTGCTCCTTGACAGAGTCAAATATCTTTTTGCTTCATTTACAACACCAGACACATGGTGTTTGGTACTGATATAATGAAAAGGTATGTGGTATTTAACAGAAGGCTTTAGGTTAGTTAAAAAATGAGTGCCCCAGTAAGAACCTAAATGTTTACCAACTGAGAAGTTTAAATAACTTATGAATTCATATAATGAATAAAATGAAGCAAAAAAGAAAGGTAGCTACATTATCTCCTGACATGTAAAGCTCGCCAATAATTATTTGATTAGAGGAGAAAACAAGTCACAGACCAACATATATAGTGTGATTCATTTAGGATAAGAAACAAATGGGGAATTCCACATTTGCTGTAGTACTTTGTGTCCTTTGCTCACCAGAGTTATGTATGGAGAGGGAGTGGCCTAGGAGAAGGGCAGGGGCAGTGACAATGTGAAGGGGGCCACCAATGCCTACTGGATGGGCTCACGGAATGATTGGACTTTAAAAGTGAATATCTACTCACCGAATGATATTACTATAAAAGTATAATGAAAACATTTTAAAAAGCAAGTCATATGCTAATTTTCTCAGATGTGATGAGCCCAGTGTTAGAAACTTACAGATAATATTCTGAAATTATTTAAAATAGCAGAACAAACGAAAGAAAGTGAATACCTCTTTAAAAGCAGCCATTTGCTTCTGGACTCGATTTACAAATCGCCATTGTATGACAAGACTATAAGAAACAAAACATTTCATTTTTTTTTTTACATGCACCAAGAAAAAAAAAATTAAGAAATATTTATTCCAGTTAGAAACAACAACAAAAAAGATTACCTAAGCCCAAGGAAAAACTGAATGTGAATGGTTAATGCAGCATTGTTATAAAAGGAGAAAAAGAACATTGAGACTCCAACAAAGAGGGAAAAGAAAGAGAGGAAGAGTCTTCCTGGAAAGAAATAACAAAATTCTCCCAATAAAGTATTTATTAAATATAGTAAAATACTAAGAAAATACTTACTAAATATATTCCTTTTTGTTCTTATTGGTGACAACTATTTCGGATCCACTATTTTTTAACTCGTGTTGATGTGTCTAAAACAAGATACCATGATATGTTATTTTAGTGACAAAAGTAAAGTATAATTATAAGTTATACCAGGATCTGGTGTTTTAGATTAAATCCATTCAAAAGCTATGAAAATTTATATTAGTTTTACTATAAGAAACATGAAAGGAGCTGAATGTCAAAGAAAGCATATATTTGTGCTGAGAGACATCTTGTGTTACTGGAAAATTTAAAAATAGAGCACAGAAATGGGTTGAAGATATGCATTAACATATAAACTTAAGTTATAATATGTTTCATAATTTATGTCATTTTAATTAATGAAAGTAACAAACCTGTCCAAAAAGTTCTTCATCTATGACAAACCTGAGGTCCAATTCTGTTGGATCATTTTCAAGAATCCATCTTAATGAATTATAATATTCACTATCCTAGATATAGGAAAAATTGCATATTAAAAATGCGTATATGTAAAGAAGATACCTGAATCTGCAAAGAAAGTACACTGAGGTCTGATTAACTGATCAAAAGATGAAAAGATAGTTGAATACTTTTTATGTACACATACAATATAATAAAAAGAGATGGATGACCAGTGATGTGAGTAAAAACACATCAAACAATAGAGCTGTGTCTGCTTAAAAGTGTAGAAATGCATCTCTTTTTGGAAGCAATGGAGATTCACATGTTATTACCCAATTAAAGGATTAAATATAGCTGTTTTCATATAGACTTAACTTCCATGGGTGCCAGGAGGACCTGATACCATTTTCATGTAGTCTAAGAAATATTTAGGTAACTATAAGGAGGTTATTTATACTTGGTTCAACTTAAAGTAATATCTCAAATGCAGAACTGCAATAAACCAACTCAAATAACTATAATCTTATGAATTGAGGCTACAAAAAGAGGGAGAGTACAGAGTGGGGAGCAAAGAGGGCTCGAGACCAATGGACTACTGTAGATGATTTCCGGGCTTTGGTGGTGGGTGTGGTATAGCAACACACGTTTGAAGACATGTGAATCTATACTTCTAGATCATATACAGTGTTGTAGACCAATGTTAGCACAATAAAAATTCATATAATTAAAAAAATTATGCTGTTCATACTGAAAATGTATCATAAGAAAGGAATTTAAAAAACATATTGGTACCAAGGAAGAGATCTTGAAATCCATGTGTTCACACATTGTATTCAGTAGAGGCAGCAACGTGATTAAAGTCAGGGATTTAATCCTCTAATTTCTGTTTCTTTCTATTATCTAACCTTAAGAATGTGCCTTTTGACTGCCATTTGGAAAACATACATCATTCATGATAAAAGATTACAATTCAAGTACTGATGCAAGAGATACATCAAATGCTGCACAGCTTATTGAAATACTCAGGGAGAAGCATAGGGATATCTGCAACTTATATTGAAATGCATCAAAAAACCAGATGGTCTGACGGGCAGAGATGAACAGGAGATAAATATGTGATAAGGTAATTATTAAAAAAAGTCAATTGTGGAATCTGGGTGGTAGATTTGCTTTATATGTCCACTATAAGATTTTTTTCAACCTTATTATATGTTAGAAATTTTCCTAATAAAATGTTGAGGAAAATGTTCATTTGTATTTTGGAATACTGAAATCTATTAATTTCTATATCATTCAAAGTTGACCTGCAAAACATTCCGTTTCCTGTTAAATTATGCTTCCTTTATTTTATAAGTGAAAACGACATACCACTGACTCCATATCATGAAGTGTTATTGGTTTGTGCAGCATCATCTTGTAAAAAGGGCGAATGAAAAAACCTTGCAAAAAATCAAATACATTTACAATGAATACCAAGTGAAAGAAATCAGATAATTACATTAAAAAAAAAAAAACTAGCTTCAAGCTGATACTAACCATCCAACAGTTTGCCATGATAAACTGCCATGCCAGCTACCCGGCCAATAAACTTGAAATAAGAGAGGTGATCTTCATTACATAATCCAGAGTTTGGATTTATCTGTAGAGTGTAATTATCCCTGAAAAGACAACCACATTTAAATGTTCCTCTCTATATTTCATATAAAAATTTTAATATGATATGTCATTATATATTACATTCCCCTTTTTGAGTTGTTTCCTTTTATTAGAACCACATTAGACTGCTGGATTTAATGGTTTAAAAAATATTTATTTCTGTCAAAGATGGAAACAACCCAAATGTCTGCTGACAGGTAAACAAAATGTGGTAATGGATAAACTGTGTACTGATGGATAAACAAAATGTGGTAAAATGGAGTATAATTCAGCCTTAAAAAAGGGAAGGAAATTCTGACACATGGATGTACTTGAATGACATTATGTTAAGTGAAAGAAATCAGTCACAGAAGGACAAATATTACATGATTCCACTTGTATGAGGTATACTCCGAGTACTCAAATTCAGAGAGACAGAAATTGGAATGATGCTTGCCAGGGAATGGGGAAGTCAGTGTTAAATGGGTACAGAACTTCAGTTAGGAATGCTGGAAAATTCTGGAGACGGATGATGATAGTAGTGAAAGTGAATGTACTTGGAATGTGAATGGACTTAATGCTACTGAACTGTATACTTACAGTGGTAAATTTTATATTAGATATATATTATCACAATTAAAAATTGTTATTTCTGAATTCCATCAACTAAAATCTCCCTTTTCTGGCACATTGTAAGATATATTTTCCTTATATCATACAACTCTGTTACTTTCAAAATACAGTGATTTTTTTTTTCTATATACAGTCATTGTAAAGGTACTTACGTGGCAGAATATTCAAACAACCCATAATAAGGGTTAAACATTTCCTTTGAGATGAGGAAGAACCACTCTCTGGCGACTCCTCCGTAATCTAATCCTTTCTCACCATCAAACTCGATCCACAGTCGAGCCTTAAGGAAGTCTGCTCTCTTGACCCCCATGATTCTTCTGTAAGAATCCTCAAGGACAGTTGCACGGCGAAGTTTCATTTCAAATTTGTTTGGAATGTCATTCTGAAAACCCAGAGAAGAGAGACTTAAGTTTTAAATCAATTCAATGTGATGGCAAATTTATCTACTGTGAAAGTTACAAAATTCACTGTACTTTACCTTGTGCCCAAAACCCTTTATTAGAGAAAACATGACTAGGCATATTGTCTGTATTTCCTCTAGGACATGAAATAATTTGTGCATTTTCTTTAATCATTTAATAGTACAGACTTATGATTTATTTCATATCTGAATAAGAACCTTTTAATGGTGATAAATAATGCTCATGAACAGTTTTTTCCATAGTAAATGCCAGTGAAGACCATAGTAACTTACAGTTAAGCCACTGCATACTGCCTGTTGGTCCAAATTTTTTTCCTTGAAAAAGCTTGAAACTTTTTTCAAGTTTCAAATACCCAAGAGAGGTCTTCCCTCTTAGGAACTTATCCTGGTTCATTCATTAATATGCATTAACAAATTCACAGGCAGTGCCATATACTGTTCCAAGCATTTTAATGGGTTAAGTAAGGTACTCCTCCAAACAACACTATGACGAAACTACTATTATCATTTCTAATTTATGGGATGATGAAAGTGAAGATAGAAGTTAAAAAAGTCTTAGCTCCAGAGTCTTTGCTCTTAACTCATGAGTTACATTGTCTCACTAATCTACTGTATGATCTTTGCAGATGTGACAAATGTGGATAACTATGCTTTTAAGCAGAATTTATTATAAATTTTATAAACAGATATATGAATATTCTTGAATGTTTCATATTTAACATTCAAGTGAACCAGTTAAGAGAAACCACCTTATCATTAATTTTTCACTTCAAGAAAGAGAAAAGAGGGTTAACTCTAGGGGGAAAAAATATCAATTCCACTCTCTACATTTAGGAAAAATGGAAAGCCCTAGAGAAACAGGATATAAGGAGTTTATATATGCTATATAAGCAGTTTTTGTTGCTGCTTATGCAAAATTTTAAAAAAAAGAGGCAAGATTAGAGAAAACCAATTTTAGACTAGACATGAGGCAAGCAGCATAGGTAAGTTACAAAGCATTCACTGAAGCCTGCTCTGGGCCAGGCCCCATGCTAGTTAGGCACTATGGTGGGGCTAGGGATATGAGGAGAGGGGAATAAAAACACCGCATAAGATATGGTCATGTCCTCAAGGAGCTGATGTGGATTTGAGAAACATTTGTAAACATGACTAATTCTGAGACTTTAAAGACCAGGAAAATTGCTCATACTAGAGATGTAAGCAATGCTTTGTGGGGAATAAAAACTGAGCTATTAGTTGCAAGTGGGGCAGTCAAGAGTTTTCAGGAGAAAGAAGTCCTGATAAGAGGGGAAGGCAGGCTAAGAAAACTAGCACCCAAGAGAGGTCTAACCTATTTAACAGCTAGAGAGAATAGAAGGAAGAGAGGAAGGGAAAGAGGAAGGAAGAGAGGAAGGGATTTTAGTGAGAGAAGAAAATGGAGAAAAGGACTCTGGGACCAGTACAGCAAGTGTGAATGTTGGCTAGAAAGAGAGTGGCTTTGTGGATCTGCGCAGACTGCTGTGCTCTCAGACACTGATGGGGAGTACAAAGGGTAGTTTTAAGCAGGAGAGACAAAAGACATGCTGGTAAGTTAAAAACCCCTGAAATAGACTGTGTAAGAGCAGATGAATGGATCTATGAGTGAGCAACAGCAATGGGAGGAAAACAATGGAGGGACAACTTTCACATTTGCACTGAGTAATGAAGCAAGGCAGGCATGGACTTTGGAGTCCAGTGGCTTTATGCTCAAATTCCAGCTCTATCTCACACATCTTTTCTGAGGCTTAGCTTTCTCATAAACACTATAGGGGAGTAACAATATCTACCCTCATAGAGCTGTTTCAGGAATTACTAGGAAATGTGTTTCATGCTTTACATGCCACATTGTTAAGTCATCATTATTCCTACCTAGTGAGATGTTGAGAATAAGGCAGAGGAAAAGGTTAGAAACAGTTTCAGCCTTTATTTATAGCACTGGTTTTAATTTTTTATCCATGTATTGGTGTTCTACTCTTTGTTGTGATATGTCTAGATATGGATTTAATTTTTTAAGATTGGGACTTTTTTTTAAACAGAAGATTTAGATTTTCAGCCTCTTTGACAGGCATTTGAGTCTCCAAATGAAATCCCTGTCTCTTAACCTTCCTTTACTATTTTTATTGAAAGATGCCTTTGTTGCATTCTGGATTACTTCCTCACAAATTGTCTCTCTTAATCATCAATATGACATGTAATGTTGGTTAAGAGTGTGGACTCTGAAGCTAGAGCACTTGGTTTGAACCTGGTCTAACCATTAGTAACCAAGGGACTTGACCACATTACCTAATGTCCTGTGCCTCAGTTTTCTCACCTGTAAAATGTCAGAGTAACAGTCCCTTTCTTTTAGTTATTGCAGAGATTACACAAATAATACATGCAATTTACCAAGAATGTTGGGATGTTCCAAGAGCTCAATAAAGATTATTTCTTTCATTATGATTTTTTTGTGTTCTGCAACCTGTTTATAAAGGCCTTGCTCCATATCGCCTGCCATTTGAAGATATCAGTAATTAGATATTGTAAAGTGTATGTATGTGTCCAGAGTGGCAAGTGAGGAAGCTAGAGTTTCTATTCCACCAGCACATTTTCATTAAGAATAAAAATGTTTACCAGAAAATTAATCAACAAAGATTTAAAATCCTAAAGCATGGAAACAGATGAACAAATCTCCAGAGCAATGTTGCCATAGTTATTTAAGATGAATTTAAGATGTTGCTGATATTTTAGAACGTCATTAAGGCATAAAATAATTGACAAAAACAACTACATTATTTCATTTTTGTTAAATTTTGGATGAAAACATATGTGCAGCAAACCCACCATCTTGAATCTTTGGAAAAGCAGGCATCCTGCTTAAAAGGCAAGAAAGTGTAACCCAATATAGCCACCTAGTGGTAACATTCCCAAACTACAGGGAAAGCATGAGCAATTAAGGCATTAAAAACAGCCTTCAAAAACAGAAATGAAATGCATGGGCAGAAGGTAAATTTCATTCCAAACCTTGAATTTGTGTTGTTGGAATAACCTGCAATGAACATATCTGATAAAAAAAAGACAAGTAAAAAGTACACTGTTTTGATCATTATTGTATTTCTTAATTATGCAGATATGTTATATTTGAAGCTGTAGAGAAAGAATGACTTGGTGGAAATGAGCAATTAAAGTAGAAAAGGAACCTAGAGAGTCCTCTTACACAAAGACTAGACAGAAAATAATCTCCTGAGTTACTTGCTCAGACTGTACAAAGCCCACACCCACAGATCTCATTAGGAAACTAGGTTAGAACTCTTAAAGGAAAACAATGCTACTTACATATATATATATATATATATATATATATATATATATATATATAAACAAGGTATCTTAAAAAATAAAGACATAAACTAATTGTGGTCTCCAATGACATAACAAATACCCAAAAGATAAGCATCCTTTTCCTGTAAGAAATGATACAACATTGTCATAAATATAGAAATCATTCTCTATTTTTAAAATGCATTTTCCATTCCTTTCAGTCTAAGTAACAATCATTCTAAGTACTTATTGTAGTATCACTGACCTGCTTCTTCAACTTTCTTCGGAAGAACTCATACTTTCTTTTGTAATCCCTGGAGTAGGGCACTGCCTTGAGTTGAAATTTTTGGAAAAATAAATAAGGTTTAGGTTGTTTTTACTCTGGAACAATTTAAAAAGTTCCCCTCTGTGTATTTTATGAACATAAGTTAAAGGCATTAAGAGAAACTATTTGGAAAGAAAAGTTCAATTTGAAGAAAAACAAATGCAAAACTTTAAAAATTATAATTTCTCTATTTAAGATAAATTTGTATCCAGCAATTCCTATGGCTGTAATTTTCATCACACAATATTCTTGAAATGCAAAATGCCAGAAACAGAAAATTTCTTCCAAGTAGAGAAATATTAGAAATGAAAATTTCCATTTCTAAAGAGACTTTCAAAGCGATTTCTCCATTATGGGAACAATTTGAAAAATGTACTTTTTCCGTGAACTTTAAAGGAGTAGCCTTTTTTATCCATTATTTAAAAAAAACTAGACATCGACACTAAAGAAAATCTAAAACTATACCTTCAATTTTACCTATTCTTGTGAATTAGAAATCAATTAAAATTTAGAAAGCTCACATAACAAAAAAACAAGCAACAACAAATGTTGATGAGCATGTGGTGAAAAAGGAACTCTCCTACATTGCTGGTGGGAGTGCAAACTGGTCCAATCTCTGGGGAAAGCTGTCTGGAGGTTCCTCAGTCTACTAAAAATGGAGCTACCACATGATGTGGCAATTCCATTACTAGGGATCTACCCAAAGGACACAAAAACAGTGATTCAAAAGAGCACCTGTACCCCTATGTTTATTGCAGCACTATTTACAATAGGTAAAACCTGAAAACAACACAAATGCCCAAAAATAGATGAATGGATCAAGAAGATGTGGTACATATACACAATGGAATATTATTCAGCAATCAAAAAAAAGATAAACTCATGCCATTCGCAGCAATGTGGATGGAGCTAGAAGGAATTATGCTCAGTGAAATAAGCCAGAAGGAAAAATAAAAATATTGAATGGTTTCACTCATAACAGGAATATAGGAGAACCAAATAAGACATCAGTATAAAAAAATAATAATAACAGTAAAAAAACACAACAAAGCAAAAACAGACAATTATAAATCAGAGACATACTGCAGGGGAAGAGGAGGGAGAGGGATCAGAGGAAGGGAGGGAGGAGCACAGGGGACTGTGGTGATGGTGCATGGATGCTTTGGGAAGGAAATTCTATGGGGACTCAATCTGAGGGGGTGGGGGAAAGCAAATATTGTCTAAAAAAATTTTTAAAATGATAAATGTTAAAAAAACAAATTTAGAAAGCTAAAAATGGGAAAAGTAGCTATGTAAATAAGAATGTTTTCCCTATCACTAACCTGACTCAAGAGTAGTGTAAATATCATACATGGCAATATTTATACTCATTACCAGTCATTTACACTAACTGCTAAGAAGTTCAAGACATGACCCTTATGCTTGATAGGGCACTGTCTGCTTCCTGACCAGATACACCCTTGGCTCCCCTCTGATCTGTTAAGGACTGCAAAGATCTTTTCAAACAATGGCAAGTACCAGGAGGAGGAGAGGGGGTAGCTGACTGGCCCACTATTACATAGGGTTAAGATAACTTCATATAATACTTTTCAAATTACTGGGGTGTGGGAGGGGAGAGACTTGCGAATGTGCTTTCCTCTCAATGACTGCAGGGTTATGCCCTTGACCATTCACCACTGAAGAGACACATGAGAGACAATTCCATCAGAGAAGACATACTAAGAGACTTACTGGTCCAGTTATTGCAACATTCTGCAAACGAGGATCTTCCCATTGTGTTCTTTTTATGTCTGGAAAGAGAGAGAAAGAGAAACTGATTCTTTATTCTCATGCACAATATTCAATATTGCAAAAAAATTGTGTAATGAAAATTCATATTCACATACTGTGATTTATGTAGAAGATTCTTCCATCTGTGTGAGTTCTCTCTTCCCACCCTGGCTATAATGAAGAAAGTATTTCAATTATTTTAGAAAAGGGTTCTAGAAGTATGGGTAGAAAAATGACATTGGTTATATGCCATTTTTAATTTGCAAAAATGCATAATTAAATTTGCAAGTTCCATTCTTTATAGAAGGTATCAACACAAATATTATAGTTTTAAAGAACTCGTGTTCTCACTGGAATACACAGCAATCAAAATAAGATAAACTCATGTCATTTGCAGCCACATGGAATGAGCTGGAAGGATTATGCTAAGTGGAATAAGCCAGAAAGAGAAAGACAAATATTGATGGTATTTACTTATTTATTTATTTGTACTGGTCACTTACATGTGGAATATAGAGAAATCAAAGGGTCAGACAAAGACAAACATTAAAACAAACTATTGAAAGAAGACCATAGATCTCAGATATCCAGAGGGATAAGAATGGAGGTGGGGGGGAGTGGAGGTTAGGTGGGGGAGAGGGAGGGAGGAGAGCACAAAGGACTACGGTGGAGGACTAAGGGTGCTTTGGTGGAGGAGTGCTATGGTGACAACACCTAAGGGGGGAAATCCTATACTATCAAAATACTAACAAGGATGTAAAATGATGGTTTCAGCCAAAAAAAAAAAAAGAACTAGTTTTTTTTTATTCCAAAATGCAAAATGTTTGAGATAGTCAAGTTAAATCACTATCCATTATATAAACTTACAGGTAATGGCCCTAGATCATTGGAAGTATCAAGCGATGTCTTTCCTCTCAGATGAACTGGAATTTTTAGTCTTGGATCTTCCTTTTTTTGTAGGAAAAAAAATTAAGAAAACAACATATACATTTTATCAGAAAGTCAGTATATTTTTTAATATGATAGCTATTTAAAATATTCTATTTCAAAAGTCCATTTTTATTTCATTTGCTTCATCTGTGAAATGCTAATTTCTTCTTCTGAAATCTATCATTTTCAGGCTATAAAATTCAGTTCTCAGTTTTCAGAGTAAGATCAGAATAACTTAATCTCTTTCACAGAAACCATTTACAGTATTTGCCCCACTCATTAGGGACTGAATTACTATATGAGGTTCTCCTACTCTAAATAAATACTGGTGAAAGAATGGGACATAAACTGGATCAAATGTTATTTCTGAGTTCATGAACATGCTTTCTGACACTTATCTATCAGAATGCTGATTTATTAATATTCTAAAAGAACTGTCAGGGGAAAAGTTTGGCCTGAATGAACTCCACAAACACAGGTTTGTGGAATCCACCCCCATCCCAGAGCAATGAGATCCTAGACACCAAGGACTACAAATCCCATAATGTCAACATCACCACCAAAGGGAGGACTGCTGTGTACTGAGGGTGAAGCTAAGCAGCCAGGCTTGGTATATAACCCAAGCATGTGGGCCTTGGGGGTGGCGCTTGGTTTTTTGCCAGCTTTCAGTGTGCTACTGGGATTCCAGTTTAGCAGAACTGGTAGGTACATTCACCAATTTATCTTTCTCTCTCTTTCTCCCTGAGTTATTCCTGTCTTCATTTCCCCTTTTTGTAAATAAACCCTTTATTAATCTTTTTGTGTGTGCCTGCAGTTGAGTCTCATTTTAAGTCCCTTTAAAGCCTATGCGGTTGGAGCAAAGAAAGTTTGTTCAATAAATGGTGTTTGGAAAACTGGTTTGCTACATGCAAAAGAATGAAGCTTGACCACTACCTCACCCCATACAAAAAAATCAACTCAAAATGGATTAAAGAACTAGACATAAGACCTGAAACCATAAAATACATAGAAGGAAATATAGGCAAAACACTACATGATATGCACCTCAAAGACATCTTTACAGACACATCACCCAAAGCAGTGATAGTGACGGCAAAGATCAACAGCTGGGACTACATCAAATTAAAGAGCTTCTGCACAGCAAAAGAGACAATAACAAAAACAAAGAGAAACCCCACCAACTGGGAGAACATTTTTGCACACAACACTAATGATAAAGGACTGATCACAAAAATCTGCAAAGAGCTGATGAGACTCAACAACAACAAAGAAAATAATCCTGTCAAAAAATGGGTAGAAGAGCTAAAAAGAAACTTCTTTGAAGAGGAAATGCAAATGGCCAACAGGCATATGAAAAAAATGTTCAACATCACTTGTCATCAGGGAAATGCAAATCAAAACTACCATGAGATACCATCTTACACCAGTGAGAATGGCACACATTAAAAAAACTAGCAACAACAAATGTTGGCGAGGATGTGGAGAAAAAGGAACTCTTCTACACTGTTGGTGGGAGTGCAAACTGGTCCAACCACTATGGAGAGCTGTGTGGAGATTTCTGGACCTACTAAACATAGAGCTTCCATATGACCCAGCAATTCCACTCCTAGGTATTTACCCAAAGGACACAGAAACATCAATGCCAAAGAGCACCTGCACCCCTATGTTTATAGCAGCAATGTTTACAATAGCTAAGCTTTGGAAACAACCCAAATGCCCCAAAATAGATGACTGGATCAAGAAGATGTGGTACATATACACCATGGAATATTACTCAGCATTCAAAAAAGATAAACACATGCCATTTGCAGCAACATGGATGGCACTGGAAGGGATCATGCTCAGCGAAATAAGCCAGAAAGAAAAAGAAAAATACCCGATGGTCTCACTCATAGCAGGACTCTAGAAAACTTAAATAAGGGACCAGGAAAATGAATAACTATAAGAAAGCGAAAATCAAAATCAACAAACAACTATGAACCAGAGACACTCTATGGGGGGTGGGGGGCGGGGAGGGGAGGGATTGGGGTTAAAATAAGGGGGTTGCAATTGTATGGGGAATATAAAAATAAAACTTATTTAAAAACAAAAAAATAAAACCTATGGAAAAAAAAATAAATAAAGCCTATGCGGGTAAGGATCCAAAGTCTGGCCAACCCATTTCACATTGGGGTTGCCCTACAACAGAATGAGAAGCTTAAAAAGGTTACTAAAGTCATTTCAAATTATTGAAAAAGAGAACAAAATTCAATTTATTTGGATTAAATTCCATGCCTAGTTACATTTTATTTTACTAAACTTTTTATTTAGGCATGCAGATCATTAAGTAATTAACTAAAATCTATTCATCTGCTGCTGATTTCAGTAATTCTTGAATTAATGATGAACCAACCATTAAATAATTTTAAGCCTTGTCTTGAAATAGAATTCTTATTCTGCCTAGTCTCACCAGGTTTTTTGGGGATTAAATGAGGTATGGACTCAAATGCGTTTTGAAATTATAAAGCCGAAGGAACTGCAAAGGATTATTACTAAATATCTTCTGAAGCAGTTATATTATGGAACTAGAAATAAGTAGTAAATGTGTCTCCATGACAATCACCCAAATTACTAAAAAATGACTAAACCATTTGAATAGAAATTATACTATTAAGAATTCAACATCTTTAAATGAGTATCAGGAAACACAAGCATGCTAATGTAGACTTTACATTTACATTTTTTTAAGATTATAAAAAACTACACAGAAGAGATTATTGAAGTTGTTTCTATAAATATAAACGGGAGAGTATTAAAATTACCCAGGTCGTGGTTTTAGTGTTGTGGTCAATAAAGAAAGGCCTCCCGTTTGGAGCATGCCGGACTTCCCAGCCACGAGGAAGGAAGCCTTGCTCGATTTCCGCTAGCTGGGCCACCAGCTGTGCTGAGTCCTTTATGGGGCCTTGTGGTTGATGGTGGGCAGAAGAGCTCTGGTTAGATGGTGGTGGATTGGTCTCCATCGCAGCCTATCAGGGTAAGCATGAAACCAAGTTGTAATGTTTGAGAGAGAACACACAAAGAGCTGTGGCCACATGTTAAGTTAACCTGAAAAAAGGAGGTATACTTATAACCAGGCCTAAACATTGAGGCTTCATTTTTCAAGAAACTGTTTTGTTAGACTTTGTTTTAAAAATAATTTAAGAAACAAACGAAACAGGCATGAGTCCTGACCAGTCGCACCAACCACCTCTTTGGGATTCCTCTGCAGGTGAGTGATTACAACTGGCAGCAGAAGAATATTGTGGTCATTATCTCTGTGCCTCTCTGAGGTGTCTGTGTTTCAGAGGCCCCGTTCTATTTTGTGTGGCAACTACCCAAAGGTCAACTGTCCATTTTTATTTGAGGTGCTGTGGTGTGTGAGACCCTTTCTGTGTCAGAGATGATGCAAAGAAAAGAATCTACAAGGACAAGTAAGTGCAAAAGAAGCAAAGGAAGCAAAAGCTGCTGCAAAGTGGGAAGACCAAAAATACTCATTCAATGTCATGATGAAGATTGAAGAAGAAAGGCAAAAGATAAAAGATATGAAATAAAATGAACTGATAAAAGCAACTAACAAATTGGAAGCCTGGAAGGAACATCAAAAAGAAGCTGAAAAGCAAAAAGAATAGTGAAAGGAAGAGGAATTTGTCTACAAGAAAAGCAAATTGAAGAATAGAAAAAATAATTGAAACAAAAATTTTACTAGATATTCAGCATCTAGAAATTTTGCCACAAAAGGTACAGTGATTGATATAGTCTAGAAAAGTGAGTCTTTCATTGGTGAAGAATATATATGTCGTTATTTTGGGTTTTTTTTTTGTAAATTATTTAAAATTTAGGTCATGGTTTTGTATATGGAGAATACAAATATAATACAAAGCTGAAACAAAAAAAAATGACTTATAATTTCTCAAGCAACTCTATAGTGGTTACAGTGGTAAGTCTGTGGTGGATACATGAGATTGAGGAAGCAGGTCAGGAGAACACTGTATCCCAGTTGCAAATGAAACTGTAACACCTACTAGAGGAGGAGAGAATGAGTTCAAATGCTAGGGAGACAAAATAAATAGCAAATATCCATTATGGAAACAGATGACTGAAATGTACCATGTTCAAATATGATGCTGTATTAGTACTTAAAAAAGATATCGTTAGGGCCTCCCCAGTGGCAGAGCGGTTGAGTGCTGGGTTGCGAAGCTGCCCACAGCCTCTGCAGCGCCGGTTCGATCCCTGGCTGCCGGGTGAGGGTCCCACATGGCGCGCAGACCTCTCCTGCCACCCGCTGCTCCCCTCAGCCGTGTACTTCATCACTCTGCCTGCTCTGCTCTCCCCTCTAGCTCTGGTGAATTCTCTCACCCTCCCGTGCTTCTGACTGTACCCAGTGCTTGTATAAATAAATAAATAAATAAATAAATAAATAATGATTAAAAAAAAAAAGATATCGTTATACAGCATAACATCTTTGCAAAACTTGAAACACAGATCTAAGCAATATTTTGTACTTTTTAGTTCTCTGTAAGTATAAAATCTAGGCTGGAAGAATACACAACAAATTTGAGATGGTGGGTCCCTCTGGGGAGTGGAACCAAGAGCTAGATTAAAAGGAGTATAGAATGAATATTTTAATTTCTTAATGGTGGTAAATTCTGAGTGTTAAGAAAATGGGTGGTTTGCTGCATTATTCCCTGCACTTTTCAGTGTTAAAAGAAATCTTTTTGGCAAGAGAAATGATGATAAGATAAAATAAACATTTTCCTAAACACAAGGAAATATTACAAAAGGCACTCACTGTTGGCCAGGGACATGTCATCACCACAAATTCTTTGATACTAATTACTCAGATTATCTTTTAGCAAAAAAATGACGCTGTTTTTTTTTTAAGATTTTATTTATTTATTTTTGCATAGAAGAACTAGGGTGTAGGCCAGAGGTGCAGGGGGAAAGAGGATTCACCAGAAATAGAATAGAGAGCAGAAGAGGTGGATCCACTGAAATACACTGCTGAGGGGAGCAGCAGGTGAGACAGGAGAGGTCTGCTGCACCATGTGGGTTAGGTCCCTGGCTGGGGATTGAACTCAGGTTGGGGCAGTAGAAACCCTGAGACTTAACCCCTAGGCCACCAGGGAGGCACCCAAAATAATAATCTTAACCATTTAAATTACAAAATCACTTAGTGGACCAGATAATTTTGCTCTCTGATTCCCATCTGAATTTATTTTATTTAATGAAAAGTAGAAATTCATGTGTATTAATGGTAACGATCTAATAGTAGATATTTAGCACCAATGTCAGAAAATGATTAGGTGAGAGAAGCATTCGGTGTATACTACAAGGTGATATAATTGCTTCCAAAGGGATGTGATGGTTTAAATACCAAGAGAAAATAATTTAATGGGTAGATTGTGGGTACCTGTACAATGGGCTTTGTCCAGGTAGTGGTTCTGGAATTGTGATCTACATAATATGATCTTCCTCTTTCATCTTGTTTTTCTTCCCAACCTGGTGGTAATCCAGATGAAGTAGGCAAAAGCTAAAGTAAAGAGTAAGAGAATTAAATGTTAGTAAGATAGACTCTTTTTAAAAGGACTATGCCATCCCTTCTTCACTACTAGCTCTCTTTAAAATGAATCATATTTGAAATCATTTAAAGAATACAGCTTTTCACTTTAAAAAAAAAACAGTAGAACAGACAATACTGATGAAGAGTAATAATGCTAATAAAACATGACAGTAGTAACAACTATATACTCTGTGCTTTAACATGGATCATGTCCTTTAACCCCCAACACAAATCTTAATGAGATAATTGCTTTATTTGTCCATTTTACTTTCAAGCAAACTGAAGTTTAAAAAGTTGCAGTTAATTTCCTATCAGATATGAAGCTAGTATGGAGCTAAGATATGAACCCAGGTAATCTAATTATAGAAATTATCACCCATATGTGCTGAATCAAAAATTGCCCCTGTATTCTTTCTGTGAGAGCTGAGAGGTACTGTTTATTCTAGCTTATTACTAATAAACCAAGAGGCCTAATTATTTCCAGGTTTACTTAAAATAGTCCAGAGCTGGCTTTCCTTTTGTTTTTTGAACCAGACACTTCAAGGTTAGGCTGGGTTCCCTAATGTGCCTTCCACATAAAGAGCACCACCATTAGTCTGTTCCCTGGCTAGACTGTTCCCTAGAAACACAGGCGGTAAATGTGCATTGCTGACAGTAATGGCAAGTTGTTAGTGTATAAAATAAAGGAGTTCAAAATTGCCCAGTTTGACAAATTTCTACCAGCTGATGGATAAATGGATAAACACAACATAGTATAAGTCTACAGAAAGGGCTATCATGATCTGAGACATGCAAAAATGAGGCTACATCTCAAAATCATCATATTGAGGGAAAGAGATGGAACACAAAGGCTATATATTGTATGATTCCATACATATGAAATTTCTTAAAAGTGCAGCAACAGAAAACAGCTGAACAAGGCTATCTGGGCTAACAGGAGGTGCTGGGATTAAGGAAATTTTGGGGGGGTGCTGGAAGGGTGCTTAAATTTGATTGTTGTGAAGTTTGTATGACTGTATAAATTTATTAAATTCACATTTATGTTTACTTAAAAGTCGATGGATTTCATGGTGTGTCGGTTAAACCTCAAGAAAGCTGTTTAAAAAAAAAAAAATCCCTAATCAAAATATTGAGAAGAAAAAGGATAGAAACAGCTTTTCAAGTACATAAAATATGAAAAATTCCTAGATTCTGCTGCTTTTCTTGTGCACTTAAACTTGTTTCTTAAGTGAATGTCAGTCAATCAGAAATTCAACATTCTCATTGTATGGAGGATGTAACAAGATGAGAGGAAGAAATACACCATCTTGGTAAGCAGGCTCCAGTCCAAGAAGAAGGGAAGACAAGTGACAGTAAGTGTAAGGAAGGCTGGTAGGGGTACATCTTCCAGTGGCATCTACCATCCTGATGATGTCAACAGTGACTGGGCCAACTGCATAAGTGGGTGTCCCCTCCTTCCTCAGCACAGGATCCGTGTTCTTCCTTTTTAGATCAGTGAGCTGCTTTGGATTAAGGAATTGTGAACCCCTGCATTCTTATGCTGGAACTTCCATAAGGACAAAAATCCCATAATCTACATTTTTCAAAATTAATATAGACTACCATTCACAGTTGCAAATAGTTGGTGAAACAAAATGAAAGGGCCAATCCAAGTGGGACATGGAAGGTTCACAGACCCAGGAGAGGGGGGAGAATTAGGACATGGGAGCAGCCTGCTAGAAGAGCAGAGAGAAGGACAAAAGCAGCATGGGATTACGATGGGTGGGTAAGGAGAAGGGGAGGTTAAAGGGGCAGGGAGTCTGGGAGTTTCCATTTCATTTGGAAAAAAAAAAAACAAGTGGGGAGCCAGGGAAGGGAAACTTGGAGTAATAGGAATTGAAACAGGAGGAAGACAGGAGATGAGGACAGGAAAGACAGGAAGTTTCTAAGGCCTAAGTTCTCAAGGCTGCAAATGCTGGGCTGCCTGGTAGACGCAACTGAAGGGAAGGCAAAGGGGGCTAATAAACTCCAACTGAACTAGCTGACAGCCATGCACACATGACTGAGTGACAGAACCCTGAGGTGACACTTCATCTATAGTGAAGGGTAGCTAGACTCCACAAGGACGATATGGAGCTGAGACTGCCAGGCACCACACCAGGAAGTGTGAGAGTAAGGTTGTCTGCAGCAGCTCACCTCTGGCAGCACAGCACTTCAACTGACAAGCCCAACTATCTGCTGTCCACAGTCACCAGTTCTCAGGACACTTTCTTATGATGGGAAAGCCAGATCTCCCTCTTTTATCTTAAAAGGGACTACAATGATATAAGGAAAAAATATATATCTATAGTATATCACATTCTTGGGTGTTCATTTTTAATTTAGGCTAACAATCTAACTTTGTCTAAGTGGTTGTTTTTAAAATATGAATAATGTTTAATCTTTTAAAAGTTCCAGATTAATGAATTCTGTCCTTGATTGCTTACTAGAAAAAAGTGGACCCTTCCCATACTCCATCATAGTGATTGTATAGAGGTTTCTGGTGGCCAGACTTGAGAGATTTTAGCAGATTCCAGAGGGGAGAGTGATGCTGGTATTAGGCCTGAAGAGCAGGCAACATAATATAGTGAACTGTGGTAAAGATACTGAACATGGACTAAATTTTTTAAAAAAATGAAAAAACAATTAAAAAGGATCTATTTAACATATTTCTTCTCATCACCCTTAAACCTCATCCAGTACAACCTATATTCTGTACTAGAATCAGTTCCCTGGTAAGCAAATTACAATACTCAGTGTTCCCAAGAAAGTTGTGGTGATTGAGGGGAGAGATTAAAACTTACCACAGGAAGGGCAGGCTGTTCCTCAAACGTATAGGTCACTAAGCTGCCTCTTCTGCTGGAATGATTCTTTTAGAGAAAGAAAGATAAGGTGCCCTTAATAACTTAAGGTTTGTATTTGTCTTTGAATGGCAGGTAAAGTAGTAGGGGCAAATATGACGGGGGAGAAGAAAGAACCCTGGCTGGGAAGTGGCTGTTGAAACCGCATGTGAAGGCACTTGGCCACTCTAAAAACCACCATCCTTGAGTCAGGGCCATGCTAGGAAAGTCATTTTCTTCTGTATAGCACACAACTCTGTAACAGAGAACACTGCTCAGTGAGCTTCATTTCCAGGCTCTTCCTGAGGTTCCAGTCACTTCCTGCCTCTCAATCTACCCTCTGGATAGTCCACATAACTTCTTTCCTGGAGATCACACATTCCTTCTTTTCTTGTGTTTTTATGTGCATGCTGTTGTTACTATCTGAAATAATTTGTTATTTGATGTCATCAAAATCTATACTATACATATAGATTAAGTTAGAATATCCACTATAGTACTATTTATAGTAACAAAGAACTAAACAATAAGACTGGTGAAATAACTTCACCATTAACTTGCACAATGGGTTGATTTTTTTTCTTTTTTGTTTCTGTTGTTGGTTTTATTTTTTTTTTTTATTTTTTTTATTTTTTTTAATAGAGGCATGTTTGTTTATTTATTTATTTATTTGTTTGTTTGTTTGTTTTGTTTATACATGCACTGGGTACAGTCAGAAGCGCGGGAGGGTGAGAGAATTCACCAGAGCCAGAGCGGGGAGCAGAGCAGGCAGAAGGACCGAAGTACACTGCTGAGGGGAGCAGCGGGCGGCAGGAGAGGTCTGCGCGCCATGTGGGACCCTCCTCCGGTGGCCGGGGAGCAGCCGGGGATCGAACCGGCGCCGCAGAGGCTGCGGGCAGCTTCGCAACCCAGCTCTCAACCGCTGCGCCACCGGGGAGGCCCTGTTGTTGGTTTTAAAAGAAGTACATTCCATGTCTATGTTGTAGTGAAAAGTATAAACAGGTGTATAAGGTGACCTTGGGTTAAAAAATGACATACAAATACATGTTCATTTTTCCAGAGCCCAGCAATGTTATCATTTCCTGTTTCAACTTCAAGAAATATCACACACATATTTGTTCTCCAGCATTTAAATAATTTACATAAAGAGTGTGGCATATCAACCACACTGTCCTGTTCTCATGGACCAGTACTCTTAGGGATTGTTCCACATAACATGTACATCCAAAGTCACTTTATTCTGTTCAGTGACTGCAGAGTTTGGATGCATTTCAACGCATAGGTGCCATACACTGCTCTTATAATTAAAAAAAAATAGTAACAGGATGAAAGGGAATAGAATCTTGTATTATTTATCATCAGAAAATCAATATAGTGTATCCTTTAAGTATTTAACAACTTTTCCTACTCCTTTGATAAAAAAAATATATAAAATAAATGGAAGACAGAATAGACAGATGGAGAAAGAAGGGGAAGGGGCAGGCAGGTACATCTGTTCTTGGAGAGTCACATAGTTATTTACATAGAACTATCTACATCTAAGCTTCTTGCAGAAGGTACTAGGACAGAAGTGAGTAAACTTTTTCTGGTAAGATGCTGATAGTAAGTATTTTTTGTGGGCCACATAGTCTCGGTTATAATTACTCAACTCTGTCAACATAGTGGGTATTCAGTCATCAGCAATCTTTAAACCAATGGCTGTATCCCAGTGACACTTTAACTATCATATAGTGCCTTGCACATAGTCAATCCTCGGTCAATATTTACTACAATGAAAAACAGGGTAACTCCAACTGGAAATGGCCTACCCTCCTTAGAATAAACTCTGTCGTCCACAGAAAGCTTTCCATTGATGACACAGGTTAAAAGCCAGTTCCACCTCCACATGGTAAGGTAGACTGGAATACTTCCTTCTGCACTCCAAAGATAGCAATTGTCATAAAGGTTGCTGGTATGAGAATGTCATCTACCTTTTTGCTTGGTAAGAACATATCAGTTTTCATTTCAGATATATCAGTTTTCATTTCAGATGGTATAAATGAGCAGGAGAAAAGCAACCCCTGGTTACCCGGCCTGGTACTCTTAGGTAGAATCAAGAAAAAATCAAGACCAGTAATCATGGCTGAACACAGACAAAACGTAAATATTGTCCAAGTCAAAAAATACCAAATAATCTCCCTATGCTGGCAAATATAAGTGACTGCTGCTTTTTGTTTAATTATAGTTTTTGTCTCTCCACAGATGAGAGATGAGATACCCAATCACAGCATGGCCCTTTGCACAGCATTTAATGCAGAGCAAAGATCCACTTCCTTCAGTACTCCTCAAACCTCCTTTAAGGAGCCCAAATCCTTTATGTCTTTTCTAACATACTCTGAGTCTCTCATCGTGTGTGTGCCCCTTGCTGAAATAATAACTCCAACTTTTTCAATTACAGATGAGTTTCTGGTGGTCTTTTGCTAGAGGACATTGACTTACACAATGGACATTTAGACTCCAGTGTCCACTTGGATTATCCACAATTTTGTTCCATATTAATCGCTGAAAAATCATCATGCTATAAATGTAAAGTCTTAAAGTCCCCAACACATTATTACATGCCACTTTGGACACAATTTTATGTAAAAATTAGTAATTGAATGGAACAATATGTGTAATATAAAATTCTGAAGCTACAGCAAAATCTAAGAGCATCTTACTGAGCTGGATACTGGTTGGCCAGTGGTTGAATTTCCACAAATAGTGAGTCTGGCATTTAATTCGTCTGTAAGGTAAGTCTGAACATCCAAGTTATTTGATGGTGGAGGTGATAGGAAGGCCTGATTACTAAACATGGTAGCTTCGTCTTCTCTTATAATCTCCCAGTTCTGAAATGAACAGAAAAGTTTAAGTCACACATACTTTAATCTCTTGCTATAACATGTATCTTTCAACAAGAACAATAAAAGCATTTCTACCTCAGAAGATTCTCGGTTGTCAGTACTTTCAGTTTCCTCAGATATCTGTCGCCTGGTGGTAAATGCACGTTGTGCTTGCAACTGAATGTTACCATTCTCGGCATCTGTTAGGTTGTCCCTGTATTAGGAGTGTTAAGAGTCATCACCCATGTCTGAAGGCAGTTAAAATAATAGTCAATGGTTCTGTGATCATTTGAAAAAATACCTACTTTAGATCAGATTTTACTGTCTTGAGCCAAGGGTTACTTCGGATGCATAGATTAAGCTGCAGTCACACTGACTGGTACTTTCAGAATACCTTATGCAGTTGAAAGCTTTGTGAAAATGTGATGTTTTAGTTCATCATTATTCCAAAGATAATGTCTGACATGTTTGGGCTCTCAAAAAATGTTTGCTGAATGAGTGAACATCTGAGAGTTTCATAAATAATTCCATTATTATTTTGCCTTTTTTTCTACAATAGTAAAATATAGAGTAGCACTAGAAAGATCATGAAAATTTTACTTATACATTTTCATGAATCAGTAACATTTCTAGAATTGGTCTTTACCCAGGAGTAGAGTTCCCCATACATGAATATACAAGACAGAATATTTTAATGATTATTGATTAAAGGACAAAAATATTTTAATGACTAATGATTAAATGGTATCTGCTTTTAAACATTTACAGTAATGGGCCTGGTCTAAGAAAGGATAATAATACAAAGGGGATACCTGAGTTTAGAAAAGGTACAATACGTCAGATTGAACATACTGCACAAGTCAAGTCTGTTACTCTAGCTATTTGTATTTAATATACTCAAACCTACAGATCAAAAATTTCATAAAAATATTTAATAACAAGGGATTGCTTCAGATTTTCCTCCTGTTCCAAACATTTGATTATGGCAAGCTGACAATAACCACCACCATGGTGAAAGAAAATGTGATTTGCTTAAATCAAGCTTGCCATACAGGTTAACAATAGTAATACTAAGGGATGGAATACTACTAGTAATACTACTAGTAACACTAATGCACGAATAGGGCAACTCTAGAATTTTAGTGTCTGCATGTTATTCTATAGTGATGAATGCTTCTGTGCCTTGTAGAACCTGGACCACTGATTTTCTCTGAAAGAATCAGAACTGAAAATATCTATGGAAGTACTTGGGCTATATTGGACACAAAATACAAAAGCCAAACATACAAGGTAATGAGAAAATAAGAAAAATTTGATGACTGTATCAAATGGCAGAAAACTTGAGAATGACTTATAGGCTACATGGTAGGAGAAGTGGAAGGAGATTTGGTAATAAATATAAATAATGGGAGAATTTGTTACTGTATGTACAGTCTGATGATAATAAAAGAAAAATGTCATTGAGAAGCTGTAATTAGAGTTCTAAAGTCATTCTGTCTTTGACTGGTACATACTGGAGGTTACCTGTATACATTGACCAGACTGGCAAACGATTATTTAACACAGACCTTTGTATTGAGTCATTTATATTTTAAAAATAGTATACTTTCAACATTAACATTTTAAAAATATTAATAATGAACTATAAATAATCTCTAAGCTTTCTAAAGCAATCTAAAGAGACTAATGTACCTCTGTGCTGCATGACAATTAAAAGCATAAATAATTGATAATTTATTGAAATAAAAAACCAATTAGAAGGGTGGTATTTGTGAGTGAAATAATTTTGAATATTTATCAAATCTTTTTTTAAAAGACAGCTAAATTAGCATTTTTTAAGTCAGGTATAAAAATGCTGGTATTCATTAGTTTATGGCTCCCTCTATTATTATGAATCCATAATAGATCTATTTGAAATATGATTTCAAAGTAAAAATTAATGATCAAAATATATTCAGGTAACAAGTGTGAAGCCATTAGCACATACTGGGGAGTTGGTCTTTTCCACTGCGTTCTTCTAGATTCATGGTTTACATAGTAGGTCCTTCCAAGAATATCCTGCCTCTCTTCCCATCCTGGAGGTAGAGGAGAAGGTTCTTGTTGCTGTTGCAAATGGCAAGCAGCATCTGGTTGGTCCAAAACAACCCAGCCAGGCTGAAAAGCAGAACAGTAACACTTAAGTTTAAGCTTGATTTATTAACCTTATAAATAATGCTATAGGAAATTTTGAAAGAGATTTAGTGTATCTAGGTGCAGAAATTACACAAAGGCAGAATTAGCACATCAACTTTTAAGACCATAATATAAATATTTTATGATAATGAAAACTTCTTTTTGCAAAATGATAACATTTAAATTTTGTTTGAAACTTTTCAAAATTTTCAAAAAAGGTCTAAACATATTGAAAAGAAACAAAGAGGGCAGAAAAAAAATTTAAGCAATGATGGAAAGCACTGAAAAACTAAGAAGCAAGTTTAAACTAGTATAAAAATAGGTTATTTTCTAAATTATAAATTAATGTAGGAAGGGTGGGGGTCTTATCAGCAGTTTTCTCTCCCAAAGAGAAAGTAGCTTGTACATGGAAATCAGTAACTATTTGAGACCTGAAAAAAAATCATTAGATGAAGATCAAATATTCACGAGGATCTTGATAAGAGATGGCAAATAATTTAGAAATAATTGCTATGGTAATCTCTCTAGTGACTGCAAGTCATGATGATTCTCTGGCTTGACTTTTCCTTCTCTTCTGGACCAATTAAGGGCATTTTGGTCAAGTGATAAAATAACCAAAGAAAGAGGTTTTGTTTTGTTTATAGTGCCAAGAAGGCACTGAAAATTTGGTTCCTCTGAGACTAGTGAGGGATAAATATACACAGACTTAGCTGGGGTGGTTAGAGCAAGGAATTAATTGAAAAGAGTAGCAACAGTTAATGGTACAAGAAACCTCATAACAGAAAATAGGTATAGTTAGGAAAGCAAGGTAAACTAATGAAAACTTTATAATTCTCTTAAAGGGACACCAAAGAAGACCTGAATGAATGAAAATACCTCTTGGCTAGGAACAGTCAATCTCACAAAGCTGTCCATTGCCCAGATTAAATTATAAAGTTGGTGAGATTTTGATAAAACTACATTATGGATTTTAAAAAATAAGACAATTCTCAAGTTAAAACAGAAACACATACAAGCAAGGATAATCAGCAAAATTCTATAAAACAACAACAAATGAAGTTTAACTCTACCAGATAAAATATATTACAAACCAAAATAATTAAGCTTTGTAGCACCAGTGCATGCATAGACAGGCAGTTTAATAGAAGGCCAGGAACATTAAGTTTACAGGAATTTAGTTTATGAAAAAGATATTTCCAATTTGTGGGGAAACAGGCAAATTACTTAGAAAGCAGGAAAGAAATTTGATTTGGATCACGACTTCATACCTTATACAGAATATATCACAGATTAAGCAATATTTAAATGTTAAAAAGTAAAAACTAAACTGTATTTATTCAGCTTTTTCTAGGTACTAGTATTCAGAGCTGAAGCACTATGGTGTGGCAGCCATGGATAGCTTAGAAGAGGGAAGAGATTTGGCCTATGGATCTGAAAATGAGGGGTCAGGGAGAAGAGCAGGAAGGACAGGAATGTTTTCTGGTAGCAGAAAGAAACAGAGGTGTCTACAGTAAGGTGGGTTTTTTCTGGCTAGTCCTGGTGGAAGGGTTATAGACTAAGGCAGAACAGAAGGTGAGGGTTAGGGAAAGAAGACAAAACTATTTTTGGGAAAAGGATCTGGAAAGGAAGCAAAACTGACTCCCTTTCTTTCTTGCTTTTGTTTTTCTTTTTTACCTCTTCTACGTGAACTGACATTTCATTTTTATTGCCCAACTTCCTTTTTTCTCTCTCCATTCACTTCCAGAATACAGGATCTAGCATACCTCAAAATTAGTCTTATGTATATTAAATCAGATTTTATTTCTCTGGCCTCAATCTCAAAAGCAAGTGAGTTAAGTTTTTATATTTAACTCTCTTGAAAAAAAGATTAACTTTTTTTGTTGTTTCTTAATGTGGTTATTGATTTTTTTTCCCTGAAGGTTAATGAAATTTACTAATAAAAGGGTCCTTACTACTGCTATCAAGGATTGCAGAAATATTCGGAGGTAAGAAAATGCTACTAACAAAATCTTTAAAAAAAAAAATCTTAAAGATTTCTCTCAAATCTTTAAGAGCAATCTTAATGGTTTCTCTCTCAAAGGTCTGCTTATTAAATTTATACAATCCAAATAAACTTGAGGAGGGAAAAAAAACTAAGGGCTTTTAAAAAGCAGTTTTAAGTTTGAGAAAAGAATGGTATATTTGAACATTATTTAGAAAGTATATTTTTATGTAGAATGCCTCTCTATAAAACATGTACCAATATTTATCACAAAATAATTCCAAGTACTAATGAATGTTACTTAATTCCTGCAACCAACAAATATAATATTATATGTTAATTTTTTAAAATACATACTACTAAGTCCAGAGTTGCAAAGGTTACAAAGATCAAATGTTTATCTAGTACACCCACTCTTTATTATACTAAGGACTACAAACTGCCTAACAGTGAGCCTTTTTTTGAAAGTTACAATTGTTTTCTTTAAATAGTAGAATTTTATATATTTAGTCACAAACTAGATGTCAAACTACTCACAAACTAGACTTCTCTAGTCATTAGCTACACAGAAGATAAACAGGCAAAGATTCATGTGTTTGAATTCCTTGGGCCTTTCATAAATAAACTCCTACATACCTACATCTACTGAAATTATAAGGTGCAATTCTGAGGGAATTCAAACATAGAGACATGAAACCACGAAATGAAGTGAAGCAGTTCTACCCACAGGAACTGAATTGTGAATAAGGTACCTGTGATAGACGCGTGTGGGCAAACCTTAGAACCTTATAACAAGTTTCTATATAATGAAGTGCTGTTAATTTTAAGATACTAAATAAAGAATTTTCTTTCTTTACAGTAGAAATACTTAACTTTAAACACAATTTCATTATGCAAGATACCCTGTGCACCAAAACACCAAATAGGAAGACTGTGACTTAATAAATACCTAAAGCTTTACTATATGTCAAATCAGAGAAAAATTAAAAAGTAACAAGACGATCAAATACAAAGTTAAGATACCAAGTTCTCTGTCACACTCTTAACTATATACTGTGATTTAAAGAAAAACATTCTTTCCATTATTACAGAGTCCCCTGCAAAGTAAAGTCTCATCAGAGCATTTAAAAATTCCCCAAAAGTTTTGTTGCTAAAGCACTGCTTCTTCCTGATTCTTCTTTCTCAATGCAAGTGTGTATGTGAGGTAGAGTCCAGCTGACGGGAGGTCCCCAAACTTAAAATTCTGGAGACCTACAAGACTATCAGTCCCAGAGGAGTGGCTTCAGAGGACAGCACACACCCAAGCCCTCCAAAGCAAAGTGGTGACAATACACTGTGTGGTCTCAGCACATGTTGAATGCTCTTGATGGTCCTTCAATGAAACTTCAAGGGCAGGTTTTTTTATCCCCACTTGAATCATGACTTTCTCTGTTGGAAGAAAATCAATAGGCCATCTGGTACAACCAGGTCACTATGCAAATGAAGAACCTATGGTTTAACAACACACATGACCATTCAGCTGGTTAGTAGCAGAGTTAGCAACTAGAGTTGCAGTCTCCAAATTCCTGTCCACTTCTATTTCAAATACATGCTTGCAGCCTCCCCTTTACTCAATGCAGATGCATGTGGCTTTGCCCAAATACTTGATTTGGGCTTCCTCTTTTCCTGTCATCCATGAAAATTGTTAAACTCTATTTGCCCCAAATAAGTGTGGCTTTTTATTAAATTACTTAACTTCTCTCTCCCCGTCTCATCCTCTCCTTTCTTATGAGGCCCCTTCCATCCCAACCTTAATAATAGGAAAACTAACAGAAACGACATTTCATGAAAGAGTTACTAATTAGTAGAGTTTCTGTATATTCAAATGACAAATATTAAATTGTGGTCTTACTTTAATGGAGGGGAACATAACATGGTTTTAGAAAACTTAAAAACTAGAAAGAGTTAATGACTTAATTACAACCAACATGTTCATTTGTCAACATTATATTCCCTATTAATAGCCTCACCTTTAAGAATGCCATCAGTGATGACCATTCATTCTACAGAAATACTGCTGAAGGAAAGAAATGGTTAATGAACTCTTGGATGAATAAACAAATGCCCAGGTAAATAATTTTTACTGTGCACATTAACTTCATTGAACAGTTGTTTTTTTCGTTCAGACCGGCAAAATAAGGAATTAGATCTTTCCTTTTTAGTCTAACCAAATATTTATAAAATCTCACCTCTAATTCCTCAGCCTGTTCTGTGTTATCTTCTTCTGAGCCGCTGGTTTTAGGTAGATAAGTCATTTTTAATCTCAGATAACCTTTAACTCTTGATTTGTGACTGCAGAAAAGAAAATAATTATTCACAAAACTTTAACACTAGGAAGAAAAGTATTCATTTAATGAGTCTATTGAACACTGACTAGTTAGTAGATGATACTCAAGGGCAAGTTCCAGTGCTGAGGATATTTAGGAAAGGAATAAATGGTAGAAAAAATAAGCATATGTAATAAATGTTATGAGATAAATAAGATACCAGGAGAATTTAAGTGAAAGATCAGAGATCTGGAATGAGAAGTTGGCATTTGAGTTGAGACTAGAAGACTGAGGAGGATTTTGATCTATGGCAATGAAGGTTACTTAAGGTCACTTAATGTATATAACTAAAGAGAAGGGCAAGAATGATTAAGTCAAAGGAAACCTGGGGTGCAATTAATTAAGGAAATAGCACAAGTTGAGTATAGGCTGTGTAAAGGAAGTAGGGATGTTCCAGATGATGAGGTCGATGTGAAATTAGAGAATTTACATTTTATTTTGCACATGCTGTGAGCAAGAGAATTTTTTTGGATAGGGAAAGATTCTCACAGGTGTGTTTTTTTTTTTCTTTAAATATTTTATTTTATGTAATTCTTACATCTTTTTTCATCTTTGCACAATGTATGCATTTTCATTTTGGTTATACTCCCCATACAATTGCACCTCCCCCCTTATTTTGACTCTAGGACTCTAGTTCTTCCTTTCCCCGCCCCTCCCTCCCTTCTTCCCCCTGTAGTGTGTCTCTGGTTTATAGTTGCTTGTTGATTTTGATTTTTACTTTGTATTGATTAGTCTTTTTCCTGGTCTCTTATTCAGGTTCTCTAAATTCCTGCTATGAGTGAGACCATCTGGTATTTTTCTTTTTCTTTCTGACTTATTTCGATGAGTATGATCCCTTCTAGCTCCATCCATGTTGCTGCAAACTGCATGTGTTTATCTTTTTTGATTGCTGAGTAATATTCCATTGTGTATATGTACCACATCTTCTTGATCCAGTCATCTATTTTTGGGCATTTGGGTTGCTTCCATAGCTTAGCTATTGTAAATAGTGCTGCTATAAACATAGGGGTGCAGGTGCCCTTTGGAATTAACTGTTTCCTCACAGGTGTGTTTTAAGGATACTAATCTAACCATGTCATACAGAATGACAGAAAAGTGGAGAGCAAGGATTGATGGATGTCTGAAACCCTACCATCTTTCTTTGGCAGCTTTTGGACCTGTCATATGGTAATTTACTTGATCTATTTTCACAGTGTATCACCTTTTTCAATGAGTTGTCTAAACTAAAGGTTGCTCCTTGTTGTATTAATAACACAAAAAATTTAAACCTATCTTTCTTAAGCTTCTAACTTAAGATTTAAATTTGTCTCTTGCCTCCACCAATTCTAGCAACCTACATAGTGTTGAAATTCTTGCTTATTCTCACTTTGTATATAGATGTCTCAGTGATTTTTATAGGTATTAGTTAAGTAACCAATTACCCTTTGGCTTTATAGACACACACAAAAAAGTCCTAATCGTTTTATTCTGTTTCACCCTATCCCAGGCCTTCGTCTGAATGTGGCCTGCGTCTGAATGTGGCCTGCATCTCCATATATGAGTGGGTGAATTCTCTGACTTGTTGCTTTAAAAAAGGGATACAGACACCTTGTTCAGATAATTTTTTATGAAGTAGTTTCTCTACAGTGATAAGTTTTATGTCTTTCTGACTAGATAATAAGCCAATGATTTTGGACTTAATGGTACTCCAAAAAAAACTAGAAATATAGTACACTATACATTTGAATAAAGTTCTTTCTGCACTTGCAATAATATCCAGGGCAGATGGAAGGTGTAAAATGCTGTATTTTTAAAAAATAAAGTTATTAGAAAGAATTTGACAAATTGATAAGTAGGTTTATTAGAGCAATCAAAGCAAAGAAAAACTGGTTACTTATTCTTGGGATGCATGTCACAATCATTTTAGAATTAAAGGAGGAAAAGAGATTTATATTCCAAGACGTCTGCAGAAATTAAATATGTGGTTTCTCTTACACAGAGTAAACATTAACACAAAGAGCACTGTCCTTTTGTTTTCTTGTTTGTATTTCAGAGTAATTAAATTTTTGTTAAATTAACAAATTTATTAAACTTCCATAGTATATTTTTCAAATCCATTTTCTATTTTTAAAAACAAGACAAATAATGTTGTTTTCACAGCTGTCCTTCCTCTGTTATACTTTGACCTTTTTGACAGTATATCCACACATAAATGTCTTGACTAGATTTTACTTGACTATGTGGTACAGAGATCATAGGAATATAATCTACAGCTTAAACTTAAATATTTTGATAAAAATCAAGTAACTTAGATTAGGAAATGGAATTATGAACATGTACTTTGGTTTTTAAATTCCAGTATTTGTTCATGTTATTGTCTCTAAGTATCTGAGTTGCATATTTTAAAATATGAAACATTTAGTTAGATTTTTCTGAAAGTGGTTGTGTGCATAGCAAATTGGATACTGATTTTACATGGTGATTTTTGTGAATTTTTTAAGGCTTATGTGACAAAATTTACATATCCTTTAAGATACAAGATAAACATAAATATAAAAAATGACAAATTTCAGCCTTCTAGTGTGATAAATATGGGGACAATGACTGAAACTTTGAATTTCCAAAGAGGCTACACAAAGAATTTCCAAAGAGCTATAACAAAGAATTTTGAAAAACTCAATATGTTATCATTTTATGTTTACTGACCTTCTTGGATGAAGAACAAAATCCTTAAAAGTATATGGTCTCTCCATTCTTGGATTTTCTGTCTAGAATAAAAGAGTGGGTTTTCAAGTTATATCTATAACACCAAAAAATATAGACTTTTCAAGAATATTCATGAACTATGTATGACCTTAGGCAAAGAAAAAAAGTAGCTTTAGTTTATTAAATGGTTACAGTTGGTAACTTGACAGTGCTTTCACTCTCTGCACCAGAGGAGTTGCAGCTGGCATCACAACTTAGTGTGAAACTCGCTGAGCAGGTATGTTGTGGAGCCAAAAGGAGGGTAGAAGTGCAACAGTAGAGTGGTTAGTATGTTGACACCCCAAATGGATATGGAATATGTACAATGTCAGCAAGGTAGCATGGTTAGAGCATTGAGACAATTCTAGCAGAACAAAAAGTATACAGCCTGGAAAATGAGACTGAGTTAAATCTATTATTATAAACTTGTGATCTCTAAAGACTAGAGGAAGCCAATAAAAATCTTAAAAGATAGCGATAAAACTATCACTTCCCTTTCTTATCAAGTTTAGCAGCCCTCTGTTATATTATCCTTTACTTTCTCACCTGCATTTTGTATTAACTACCCATTTAGTCCTGAAATGTTTTTGTAAATTCTCATGACATTATTTTACTTGGTTCTTTTCCTCTCTGTCTGTTCTTTCTCTTCTGACAGGTCTACACCAACTAAGGTTCAGTGTTTACCCTTCAATGCTCTCATTTCTTCTCTTCTTCTCTACATAATATATTTTCATATCTTTGTCAGCTGCCCACTCTAAGCTTTGATTTTTTCTGTTTTCTACTGAAATTCAATATGGTCAGGAATAAACTTATCATATTTCAAAACAAAAAGATTTTTTTTTTAACTTTTTTATTTGGGACACCAATTCTATCTCCCAAATTCAATGTTGCATTTTTACTTTTGCCCTACTGTTGTTTTCAACTTCCATGTCAGAAACCTGGTTCAATGATGATTTATTATAAGATATTTCCTGAGTCTGTCTTTCTCTACTGCCATAATCTTGGTTCAGATTCAGTTTCATGTCTATGTAGCAAACTAACATAGTTTCCTTCTTTCCTATCTTCAGTAGACTCTTTCTAACCAGTCTCCCTCAAACAATGCTTTCATGATTTCAACAAATAATGGTTCTATTTGTTACTAGAGTTTTTGTAATCTTGGAGACAAAATGGAAAATTAAGATAAGTTTTCAGAAAATAATGTGCTCAAAAATAATAGCAGTATATGTTTTATAAATCAACATTTATACTACCAATATTGTATAATTACAGTATTTATTAAATTAAAAAGAATAAATACAAAAAGTAAGTAAAATCATGGGCATCTATACCAACCGGTAATGGATAAAGAGGAACATCCACTTGACCTAGGAAATCATCTCTTGTCTATAAGAGAAAAAAGAAAAAAAATAAGATTTATAAGATGCTCAGTCATTTTAAGAGATTTTGATAACCTATTACCATCATTCGCAAAAATGTAGTTCTTTTTCCTAACCTATGCAATATCAGTATATTAATATTAAAAATCTATGGACAATAAATAAGGTAATATGGTACAATTTCTAATAATGGCAGAATTGATTACATTAGATTATTTGCAGATAACAGCAACATACTCTGAAAGAAATATAAAAAGCAACTATTTGAAAACACTATGTGACCAAAAGCAAGTAGAAACTGGACAGAACCCCAACTGTTGAAAGAAGGAACTATATTCAGTAAGATTCATATTTATATGGCTTTGCCTCTGGTACTACTGCACAATTCATATGGTGGAGTGATTAACACTTAAGCATAAATCTGAAATCATATTTATTTAGGAGTGTAACTCCTAGTTAGAGGTTAAAAGAATAACTGAAAAATGAAGAGGACAATCCTTGAAATGAACAAGTCACAAGAGTTACTACAAATCTCTATAAACTCTACCCAAATTCCTAGCTGATCTCTGAACTACACATATGAAAGATAATAGCTGAGAGGCTGAAAAGACAGCGCACAGATTTCAGTGGATGTTTACCTGAAGAGAGAGCATTTGGAACTCAGATAAATTAACTTGCTACAACAAAAATCAATACTCTTCAGGAAAAGATAACAAAATTTGTTGCTACAGACTTTTCAATAGAATATTTTCAGTATTTTCAGTAGAAGTATTCATTGCTCCATCATGTACTAAACATACTGCCCAATGTACAATAAAAATTTACTAAATGTGTATGCTTGGGAGAAAAATATTATAAAATTAATGTTTGTGCTCTTCTCAGAGCATTATATCTGAAGGCAATAAAGACTAGAGCCAAATATTATAGAGTGTTAAGAACCACTAAATATTTGATAAAAGTATATAACATGAAAAACAGAAACCTAATCCAAAAAACAAACTGAAAGAAGTTGGATGAGGCCTCCCCTGGTGGTGCAGGTGGTTGAGAGCAGTGCTGTGAAGCTGTCCGCAGCCTCTGCAGCATGGGTTCCATCCCAGCCAGATGGTGAGAATCCCACATTGCGCAGCAGACCTCTCCTGTCTCGCCTGCTACTCCCCTCAGCAGTGTATTTCAGTCTGCCTGTTCTGTTCCCTGCTGTCTCTGGTGAATCCTCTCACCCTCCCACGCATCTTGCCTGTACCCCAGTTATTGTATGCATGAATAAATAAATCTTTAAAAAAAAGAAGTTGGATGAATAAGAATCAAGTCATATTTCAGGAGAAGTAGTTCAGAAAAACTATAATATTCTCAGAGATAGCAGAAGATGAAACATTTGGCATATAGAATGAGGCTATAAAAAGAAACAATTAGAAAGCTATTTTAAATTTAAAATATAATTTAAATTAAAAGTAAGATAGAGTTAAATTCCTGAGAAAGTAGAACTGAAAGCAAAAGGAAAAGACTAGGATTTCCCTAAATAAGGAAACTAAAAAGTAAATTTTAAAACTGAACAACTAAATAATAGATAATCCATTCCTTTCAGCCTTTTGGCTAAGATAAAGTATAACAGACAATCCAGAAAGCAAAAAAAAAATGGAAGGAATTATCAGAGAACATTTTAAGAAACTTTCACTGAACTCAAGAAAATGAATTTTGAGAGTGAATGGATGCCACTGAGTATTAGGCAAATACATGAAAAAAAAAAAAAAAAGACTGACAGTAAGGCACATCACCATGATACTCAGCAGCCAGGAAAAAATCTGTAAGACTTGAGAGGCACAAAAGAGATCATACACAAAACTGAAATACATGACAGTAATGGCTCATGTAAATAAAATTGTGATAGAAAAATATTTCCTATATAGAATTCTATACCCAGTCAAACTATCTTTTCAATCATGAAGATAGAATGACACTTTCAGATAGTGGCATTCTTAGGAAGGTAACGAAGGCATACTTCTTCAAAGAGTAGGAGCGTAACACTGTAAGGGAAGATGCAGGGGGTTGAAGACAGGAGAGAAACCAAGATGATTCCCAGAATGAGGAAGGGAACTCTCAGAATGCTACAGTGCCAAAGCCATAGAGGAACCAGTGCATACTGGAGCAAGACTACAACAGGGATGCTTCCAGAAGAAGAGGAATAAGAATATCTTCTTCATAGGGTTTCTGAGAATTAAATGAGACAATATACATGAAGTGCTTTGCAATATACTCTTCATACAGTGAAAATTCAATAAATGTTAGCTACTGTTAACATGTGAAATGTTGGCATCTATAATGAAAGACGTACCCCCTTTCCTTTGGATTATCTGTGGACATTTCATACAGGTATGTTCAAAAATGAATTCCTTTTTATTGTGTCAAAGTCTAGTAAATTTGCATAGTTCCTATTCCTGAACATGAGTTCATAAAAATTGTGAAATGGACCAAACTGTGCTATGGTGTAGTACATAATTCCTGCTTTTGTTACATGATTTTCTACTCCATACATCTTATTTTTAAGAAGCTCTAAGTAAAATGCAACAAAATACAGTGAAATCTCAACTAGGAGAACTAAGGAATAAATATTTTAGTTAATCAATTATTCAATTTAGGTTTAACCAGATAAAGAAATAAAACTTATTTTGGGGGGAGCAGTTCAGTCTTACTGAATAGCCTTGCTCTTTTTAATTGAATACACTGAATATCTTTTTGATGATTCATGACCTTGCAGTGCTTAAAAAAATATGGCCATAATCAATTATCACGAGAGAAACACAAGTATGTAACAGGATTTCTCAACTTGAGAACTACTGTCAATTTGAGCCAGACATTTTGTTGTTGTTGAGGGGACTGTCTCATGCATGGAAGGATGTTTAGCAATATCCCTAGGCTTTGCCCACTAGATGCCAGTAGCATTCCTCCTCCAGTTGTAGTGACCAAAAATTTCTCTGACATTGCTAATGTCCCCTGAGTAGCAACATTATCCCTGATTGAGAATCACTGTTAAAGAAGATATAAAACAGGGACCTCCCTGGTGGTGCAAAGGGTTAAGCACTGCACTATGAAGCAATCTGCAGCCTGTGCAGCAGGAGTTTGACCCTGGCCTGGCCAGGGAGAAACCCACATTGCAAGACAGACCTCTCCTGTCTCGCCCACCGCTCCCCTCACCAATGTATTTCTGTCAATCTGCCTGTTTTGTTCTCTACTCGGTCTCTGGTGGATCCTCTCACCCTCAGCATCTCTGGCCTGTACCCCAGCTCTTATATACATAAATAAATCTTTTTTTTTTTTAAAAAAGAAAGTATAAAATATAATGTCTCAATAGTAAGCAAGACTTCCCACCTCCTTTAAAGTAAAAGCTTTACTGAGATAATTTACTACTATACAATTCACCCACTTAAAGTGTTCAATTTTAGGAAATTTTCATCACCCCCAAAAGAAATAATCTATTAGCAGTCACTCCCCATTTTCTCCCTTTCACCATGACTAGGAAACTACTATTCTACTTCTATGAATTTGCCAATTCTGAACATTTCATATAAATGAAATCATATAATGTGTTCCTTTATAACTAGCTGCTCTAACTTACCAAGATCTTTTTAAGGTTCATTCATGTTGCAGCAAGTATTAGTACTTCAGTCTTTTTTTCATCACTGAATATACCATATTTTATTTAAGACTATACCATATTTCATTTAGTTGACTGATATTTACACTATTTCCATTTTTGGCTATTGTAAATAATGCTGCTAAATTCTGTTACAAGATTTCGTGCTGTTATATGTTTCTCATTTCTCTTCAATTTATACTTAGGTGTGGAATTGCAAGGTCATATGGTAGCTCTATTTAACCCTTTGTGGAATTGTCAGGCTATTTAAAGTGGCTGCACCACTTTATACTCCCACCAGCACTGTAGGAGAATTTCAATTTTGTCACATCCACATCACCACTTCTTTGTTTCCTGGAATTTTGATAGTCTTCCAAGGAGTGAAGTATATCTCAGTGTGGTTCTGTTTGTGTTTTCCTGATGAACAATGATGTTGAGCATCTTTTCATGTGCTTCTTGGCTCCTTATTTCTAAGAAGTTCTTAATTAATAAATCTCTCGAGATTCAGTCTCCTTTGTAGAAACAGTGCCTTGTCACTGCAGAACTGAAAGAAAACATCTTATCCCATACATTCTCTGGTTCTTTGATTACATTTTGTGAACAGAAACATAGAACAAAAATCCCACATCATGAAGATCTCCTTTCTCCAGTAACTGTGGCATATAAAAATGCACTTTGGAAATCTTACATCTTCTTGCTTTAAAACAAGTTACCAGAAATGAATTTCTTTTTCAGGTAACTTCTACTAAAATAAAACAATCCCAAAGAACTATATGGCTAATATTAGAAAAATGAACAAATTTTCCAAACTACAAATCAATATGGTTAGTTTGAGGAGAGGGAGACTATGAAACTGGGAACTATCCTGGAAAGTCTGGGACATATGGCTGCTATAAATATAGGACAATTAGAGGTTATTTTTCCAGTTGCAAAGAAAAAGTAATAGTCTTAAATTCATTCCTATGAAAGCAAGTCAGTCTGTGATGTTCATTAGTATTTCCCTAGCCAACCAATTGTTCCAAATTCTGAATATCATGCATTTCTTCAGAAGAGTTATTTCCTATATTTGAATGCATGAAGCTTACTTTATAAAGCAAATTTGCATTTGGTAAAACAGAAGTAATTTAAGAGTGGTTAAAAATCTGAGAAAGAATTCAGAACAGCAGGTGATTTTAAATAGGACCATCTGTAGTGGGCACAGTTTAGTCAGAAAATAATTTTCAAAAATATTTTAAAGATATGAATTTCAGTTTCTTAAAATAATTTTTAGAATATGAAAAGCGAAAAATCCAAATTGCTGTTTTCATAAAACTTAAATTAGAACTATAGGTGGTTCTAAGTTTAGGGGGACTATTATGAACTTTGATAATGCTGAATAG